GTGCCTGGCGATGCAATATTCCAGTATTTCATTCTTGACTTGATTCTTCTCTTGAGGCAGGGTCATGGCTTCCGAAACGACCTTTTCAAAATGGTGGCAGATTTGAAACCAAAATTTCTCAGATTTCCGGGTATGTATAATCAATTATAACTCTTCGAACTTAGGTGTGCTAGTTGCTGATTCCATACAACCTTGTATTGAGCTAGAACACTTTTTGAAACCAATTGATAAAATTAATTTAATAAATAATTAAATCAGTCTGTGGATAACTGATGAAGTATAATTACATTAGCTCAATAAATGATTTAAAACAATGTCTTTGCATTAGGTGGCACTTATGTTGAAGGAAATCATCTGAAAAACCAATATCGATGGAAGGATACTGTTGGACCATGGGAAGACAGACCTGGGCACTTCAATGATATTTGGAACTATTGGAGTGATGATGGAATTGGTTATTCAGAGTATCTCCAAGTGGGTATCTCATTTTACAATTATAATTGAATGAGTCCTATACTTAGTTGAAATATTATTAATTATATAATGTTTCATGAGCAGCTAGCAGAGGACCTTGGTGCATTGCCCGTATGGGTTTTCAATGCTGGTATATTCTTCTTGTCCTAAACTCAACAATATCAGATACTTGAATTTGTCCCTTTTTTTTTCTAATTAATTGAATATAATTTAGGTATCAGCCGTCATGATGCGGTTAATACATCAGACATATCACCTTATGTGCAAGTATGATTGTCTTCTCTCGTTCTTTTCTTCTTATTTTATGTATAAATTTTTTTATTCTGTCTGAAGTTACATATTAAAAAAGAAAAGATATAGTAATTTTTTATTAAAAATTATAATTATTAATGCATTAAATTTTATAATATCCTATTATTTTCAATAAAATTTTATTAGTCATAAATTTTCACTGTGTGTTGTTAAATACACGTTAAACAAACTGGTTATGAATTTACATACTATTATTCTGAAATCTGTGCACTTACACAGGATGTCCTGGATGGCATTGAATTTGCAAGAGGCTCTCCTTTCTCAAAATGGGGTTCTTATAGAGCTGCAATGGGACATCCTAAACCATTTGACTTGAGATATGTTAGCGTTGGAAATGAAGATTGTGGTCTTTTCAACTATGAAGGCATGCAGTTTTGTTGTTTTTAATTCTTATTCTTTGAGCATATATATGTGCAAACAATTAATTATTCTTCACATATATATATTAACCGTAAAAAAAAAAATTGTATGATTCAACGATCAACACCTTTGATATTTGCACGATTCTGAAGATGTTGATTTATTCAATTATTAACAATTTTTTTTGTTTCTTTTCAGCAAATTACATTAAATTCTTCGATGCTATAAGATTAGCCTACCCAGATATTCAAATTATCTCAAACTGTGATGCTTCCCGTAAACCCATAAATCAACCAGCTGATTTGTTCGATTATCATGTAATTATAGCATTCTAACATTACTTGTTGAGTTTTCATTTGTTGCTACAACTATGGCTAGCGAGTTTATCTTTTTCTCATTTGTCAATTCTTTCCCATCCTTCTTCATGCTTTTTCATTTTTTGATAACCGTGTTTTAGTTTTTATTAGATTTATACAAATGCCGCGGACATGTTTTCTAAGTCTACTGCGTTTGACCGTTCATCACGATCTGGTCCAAAGGTTTGATTAATTTTTGAATTTTAATGAACATTTTTTCAATTCATTATTAATAGATTGTTGACTTTTGCATAATTCGATTGATGAATGCTCAACATCATTCTACAGGCTTTTATTAGTGAATATGCTGTGTGGAAAGAAGATGCTGGAAATGGAAGCCTTTTGTCTGCTGTGGCTGAAGCCGGATTTCTTATTGGGCTAGAAAAAAACAGGTTTACTATATAGTTTTTCTATGTACTTTATTTACAATTTTTTTAAAACTTTTTAACCTTATCTATGTACAATTTTTCATTGATTATATTTATTTTTGTGTTTATGATGCAGTGATATCGTGAAGATGGTTTGCTATGCACCACTTTTCTTAAATATCAACGACAGGAAGTAAATTTCTTATGCTTTTGCTGTGAAACTTCTACCCTTTGTCATATTTTTATGATGTAGGATAAGCACAATTTATTTTGGTAAATTAATTGTGGATTTCCAATGCATAACATGAAGTTTTGTAAATGTGTCATTGTAGGTGGATTCCCGATTCAATTGTGTTCAACTCTCATCAACTTTATGGAACTCCTAGCTATTGGGTGCAGAAACTTTTTATTAGGTCTAGTGGAGCAACACTTCTTAACTCAACCCTCACAACTTCTTCACCCAATTCAGTTATTGCATCTGCAATTATTTGGCGAAATTCTATACATAAGAAGAATCACCTTAGAATAAAGGTAACACAAGTTCCTTTTTAACTAAACTGAAATTCTGAGTTTTGCTATATGCAATGTCCTTGAAAGTGACAAATACGAGTATATATTAGTTCTTGGACTAATATGTTTCACGACAAAAAAAATTATTGAGTGACTCTTTTGAAAAGATTAAACTGGATTTAACAAAAAATTTCAAGAATTAATTGAAATGTTTACTTTTTTTTTAATCTTTGAACAGAATTTCCATATGGTGTTGTTTTTTTTTTTAATAGTACTTTAACTTGGAGTTGTTGACTTCCGCAGGTAGTGAATTTTGGAAATGTCGCTGAGAGTCTTAACATTTCTATAAAAGGTTTGAACTCAGAAGTTCAACAAAGTGGTTCAACAAAGACAGTGCTCAGATCAACCAATGTAATGGATGAAAATTCCTTCTTAGAGCCAAAGAAGGTACAATTTGGTTTGTGTTTACTTGTGCATATATGCATATAGTTGCCCTAGCATGTAAACTAACTCATGTCATTTTTGTGTTCTTTTTTTCATTTTAAATTCAGGTGATACCACATACAAGTCCACTTGAGAAGGCTGGGCAGGAAATGAATGTGATTCTCTCTCCTTATTCTGTGACATCATTTGACTTGTTGATATGAATCGATCAATGAATCTATTAGGAGCACAGGAATGATGTCTAAAACAAAAACGAAGACAGATGTGAAGGAGATCGTACTTTTTATTTTATTTAACTTCTTACATTATCAAGAAATGTAATATCCTCTTTTGTCCCCAAAGAATAATAATTTAAGTTTTTTCAATATTCTTTTTTACTATTTTCTATTATTTTTCCTCCGTTTTCTCTGATTAGATGTTTTTGTGGTAAAAATTATGATACATATTGGTAGTGGGTCAAATTTCCTGCAATATCACTAAAAATAATTTATTTACTAATAGTTTATATTAGATCATGTTTGAATCAAACTTCTTAATAAGTATTTAAAACACTTACTAAAAATTTAAATATCTTTCATAACTTAAAATCATTTTTTATTCCTTTATTTTTTTAAAATCACTTTCATGTACCTTTTATAAAATTTGAAATACATTAATTAATTTGAACTCATAAATTCTTTTTTATTTCTTTTATCTTTTTATTTTCTTTTTTTAAGTACTTCTTTAAAAATTTACTCATATTAGACTTTAGTTAATCTTATTAATATATATATATATATACATATATATATATATATATATATATATTATATAGAAATTGTGCTATTAAAATAATCATTGAATATACACTAATAGTCAAATACATTATACTAACAACAAAACTAGTGATGAGCGATGATATAGATACATAAACAAAATTATTTGATATATAGACTTATAATTAAGGACTAATTTTTTATTAAATAAATTAGTTCAAGATTTTTTTTAAAGTTTATTTAAATAAAAGATCAGGCTTCATGTCATCTAAAAAGCTTTTTACGAGTAATAGGCCGATTTATTTAAATAAATGTAAATAATATCATATTATTATTATTATTATATTTTTATTTAAATCTTAAATCCGTTGATTTATATATAAATGTATGCCCTTTTGTCAATTTAAGGATAAATTTGTCTAATTTATTTGAATTAAAAGCCTTTTAAAAAAATTAAATTTTGAATAATTGGCCTAGACCTTAAAAAAATCTATAAGTAATCATAACGAACTTGAGCCTTAAATTAAGAAGTTGAGATTAGGCTTAAATTGCAAAACCTAACTATCCCATAAGGAATAAAAATAAAAATAAAAAGCCACGAGCCTTAAATTTAGAAGTTGAGATTGGGCTAAACTTGCAAAATCTAACTTAACTCTATCTATTTTCATTTTTATTTGATAATAAATATTTTTTTTAATGTAAGCTTTTAGTCTAGTATTATTTGTTCACATTTAGTCTTTATTATTTCTTAATTGTTCGAATTGAATTTCCCTCCTCTAAAATTTCTTTCAATAATTATAAAAAATATAACAAAAAAATATAATATATAATTAATTTATATTAAATATATATAAAACAATAAATAAATAAAATAGGTTTTTATTATATTTTATTTATTATTATCATTTAGTAACGATAATATGTATCTTGAGATATTATGAAGTGATAGTTATAAAAATTTTAATGACTACTAATATTGAACCATATTTACAAAGATTACAAACATACTTTAACCTTAAATAAATGCACATAACATTTTTAATTAAGTAATTATGTGAGAACTATAAGTTTTAGTTTTAACTATTCGTAAATTACCGCATGATTAAAATTTATTATTCTCGTATTCTATAAAAAAAATTATTCTCATCATATGTATGTATATATCTAAACAAATTAATACAGCCAAAATGACTGATTCCTAAGCGCAATATATGGGGGTCTATGACTATGTGCATCAGAAAAAGCATAGATCTCGGATCTCACTCAAATAACTTGAGACTCGGACCTGTAATAATTTTTGCAATGTTGTGACTTATGATAAAGTTTATAAATACAAGCAAAAGAGTAAAGAAAAATAAACCAAGACAACAAAAGTGTTGGCTTATGGCTGAATCAGAATAAAAGTGTGGAGAAAAAATAAAATGATTTTTTTAAAGGGTTATTGCAGTTTTCTTTGGCTCTACCTCATCATAGTGACTTGTCTTGCATTACAATGTTATGCTGATGCTAACCAGACTTCAACTCTAGTTGTAGACGCTTCTAATAATGCATCTGGGAGGCCAATTCCTCACACTCTTTTTGGAATCTTTTTTGAGGTGGGAAAGGATTATGGTGCTAGCTAGGAACTGCACAACTTCTTCTTCACATCTTTAAAAGTTAAATTTTTTAGTGTCACGAACTTAAGGGTCATTGAAAACTTTTAAATATTGAACTTTCCTTGACAGTATAAGGTTATATATATTGAACTGAATATCCTTTTTAAGTGAAATGTTTCAAAAGTGATCAAAATTTTAAACATCTTTTACAGGAGATTAATCATGCTGGCGCTGGGGGATTGTGGGCAGAGCTTGTGAACAACAAAGGTCATTAAATTGCCATATTATCTAAAACTTCTTTTTCTATGAATTCTAAGTGATGACAAATTTAAACAAAAAATATTCATCTAACATAAAAATTCTTCTAAACTTCTCGTAGTTTCTTAGATGCCATTTCAATATTCTCGTTCTAAATGACCAAAACATAACTCTAAGATACCTTTCTGGAAACTCTTGTAGAATTATAGAGTGCAACAAATAACTTCAATTGATGGCATAAATTACTGTTGCATAGTCTACTTCATTGCATTCTTATGGCAATATAAAGTGATTGAGCATTCAGATATAAATTTGTATTTCAGGTTTTGAAGCCGGTGGCACACAAGTTCCATCAAATATTGAACCTTGGACAATAGTTGGAAAAGAATCAGATATTGTAATACAAACTGTACTTGGTTCTTGCTTTGAACGCAATAACGTTGCATTGCAAATGGATGTCCTATGTGACAATTGCCCTTCTGATGGTGTTGGTATCTCTAATCCAGGTTTTTGGGGCATGGTGAGAGTAACAAATTATGTCTCACATAAACTCCTATTTCTTTGTTCTTTACTATATTTAACAATTAAAATTATTTTTCTGTTTTGTTTTTCCAAGACAAACATTTTTTATCAAGTTAATTTTTTTCCTTGCCAGGATTGAAAATGATTTGCATATTTTAACAATGAAATTTGTTTCAGAATATTGTGCACGGGAAGAAATACAAAGTTGTGTTCTTTGTTAGTTCAACAGGACCATTAGATATAACAGTATCATTCAGAAAAGCAGAAGATGGAGGGGTATTAGCTTCTAGTTATATCAAGTAAGCACTACGTTCTAACATTCTGAAGATACTTTGTGCTCAAAAACCATTGAAAAGTATATTTATTGTATCTGAGAATGCGAGAAATATGTTGATCTTGAAGAGGTTCAGCATCAAAGTGGACAAGGATGGAGACTACATTGGTAGCTAGTGCATCAAGTTCTAATTCAACATTGTATTTAACAACAACCAAAAAAGGGGTGATATTGTTGGACCAGGTGTCTGCTATGCCTGTGGACACATTTAAGGTGAGTGTTCATGGATTTACTGTTATGAGACTTTTCTAATTAATCTAGCTGCTACTCTATTAATTTCTTACTTGAATATTGGAAACTCTTGTCTTTGTTTATTGGCAATACTTAAGTATATTTTATGTTTTTTTAGTCAATGTCAAACTTATCTTGGCACAGGGACATGGTTTCAGAAGTGACTTGACCCAGATGTTGGTAGAGTTGAAACCAGCCTTTCTCAGATTTCCAGGTATGCATATATAGATCCAAGTAGAACAAGAGATGTCACGGTTTTAATTTTATTGCATGCTTTAGTACCTTGGTGTAATTTAGAAATGCATTATCTTCTTATTATAGTAGACAATTTGAAAAAGCTTTGCCAAAAGTTATGTGAAAATGAAGTGCCATAATGATTATTGATGTAGTATTACTCTCCTTTTTTTTCTTTCGAGAGCTTGTTTGCAAATTGATTGAAAAAACAATTCTCACACTTTGTAATACAAAGCACGTCAGCCGATAAAAATGTATGGTTGAACTTAATTTATACACGTATCCTATTACATTTAACGATTTAAAATTAATTTTATATAAAATAATTTTATTCAACTTTAAACCAAAAGAGCTAATAGGACTCTTCAAAGACATTTTACCATTTTATGATTTACATAATCTAACTCTTTCCTTCCTCTAGTTTGTCTTGAAGTCATGCCATCAAACATTCAAATAACTGGCAAATTTGATGCAATTTTTTGTCTTGTAAAAGGTGGCTGTTTTATTGAAGGACAAACATTAAAAAATGCATTTCGGTGGAAAGAGAGTGTTGGACCATGGGAACAGAGACCTGGGCACTTTGGTGATGTTTGGAGTTATTGGACAGACGATGGATTTGGTTATTTTGAAGGTCTTCAAGTAGGTCCATTTAATTGGGTTATGGATTGATGATAGCAATCACATTTTGATTTTATTATGAAATTCAATCATGACATATAATTAAACCATTTTTCTTGTGTAGCTGGCAGAGGACATTGGTGCAAGGCCATTGTGGGTGTTTAACAATGGTAGTTTCTCATTTATTGCTACATGCTATGTATGTATGACATTTAGTAGTGTAAGGACCATCACTGAATTTGTCTTTTTGTGTATGTTTGATTCCATAACACAGGCATAAGCCACACAGATGAAATTGATACAAGCATGATCACACCTTTTGTGCAAGTACATTTTCTTATTTTGTTTCTTCCTCATTCCATGTTGTTGTTTCTTATTCCTTCTCTTTGAAAAAATGTTCACAATGTCACTTTTTCTTTACCTTAATTGTAGGAAGCCCTTGATGGTATTGAGTTTGCCAGAGGTGCAACCACTTCAAAATGGGGTTCCCTTAGAGCATCTATGGGACACCCACAACCTTTTGATCTAAAATATGTTGCAATTGGCAATGAAGACTGTGGAAAGCAAAACTACCGTGGCATGCTCTCACTTTCTCTCTCAATTTATTACTTGTATTTTTTGGTTATGATATTTATACTGACTAATATTATTGATTTGATAATTCTCTTATCATCTTTTTTTTATTATTAGTTATATATGTTAATGATCCTTTATTACTCTTTATTTTTACTTTCAATGTGTAATAACTGATAAATAAATGTTAATGGGTTGGTCTACTTTTTTAAAAATATTTTTTACTGATTAGGAAATTACTTAATGTTCTACCATGCAATACGGCGAGCTTATCCAGATATTCAAATTATTTCAAATTGTGATGCTTCTGCCAAACCATTAGATCACCCAGCGGATATCTATGATTATCATGTATTATCATATCTCTCACATTTAACATTCGTCATTTAATAGTTTCATTTACTTCGAAAAATAAAGTGAATATATCAGTTTCATTTTTACCTTTCAATAACCTTTTTTCATGCTCTAATATTATAATCTTACTTTCTCACCAGACTTATCCTACAGAAGCACAAATTATGTTTAATGATGCTCATGTGTTTGACAAGACACCACGCAACGGTCCAAAGGTTTGGCAATCCTCACCTTACTCTATATGTTAATTTGCTTATATTATGTATGCATCTGATACTTGAATATTAATACCTCAAGTGAAATAAATACCATACAGGCTTTTGTGAGTGAGTATGCTCTAACTGGAGACAAAGAAGCTAAGCTAGGAACCCTTTTGGGAGCTATCTCTGAAGCTGGATTTCTCATTGGATTAGAAGGAAACAGGTTAACTACCACTTAATTTCCATTAATTAATACCTTTAGCTTATTCTTGCGCTACTGGTTGAAAGTTGACTACCTGATCAGATGAAGGGATGGATGTGCTCAAATAATACTATAAATAAGTTTAAAAATTTTAATTATAAATATGTAAAAATACCAATTTTTCTAATAGGTGTCCAAGACAATATATATATATATATATATATATAATGCATTAGTATTTATTGATATCAGTTTATTAGAAAATGATATAAATTTCTAGAATAGTCTAAAAAAATATATAGAATAATTTAGAAAAAATTATTTTTATCTTTTAGTTTGTAAATACTTTTAGAGAAAATTCTAAAATATTATAAATTTTTTAGTTTCAAGATAGTTCTAAAATATTGAACTATTCAAATATAATGGTAGAAGATACATATAAATTGGCATGCTATTACATTGTAAATGTTAAGAAAAAATAATCAAACTATTATTTTTGAAATTGTAAATATTATCTCTTGAATCTTTTACTAAAACTTTTTCAATTATCATTTTTAACTTTTTTAACTAATATATTTCAATTATTTTACTTATCACGTACACCAAAGACCATAACATCCGTTAAACTTGAACTCTGCTTAGTAACTTTTTTGAGATTCATCATTTAGTTTCGTACTCATCATTCTCATTTTCCATTTCTGATGCAGTGATCATGTGATAATGGCTAGCTATGCGCCTCTGTTTGTAAATGCAAATGACAGAAAGTACGTCTTTTTACCTCAATTTCTATCATCTATCTCTCTTAATTTTCTTGTAAATCTATAGAATAAGCACCACGCTTTTTTTCATGCTTATTAAAAATAATAGTATGAAGCTAGGGAATACACAATTGCCACATTTATAAAATGATAGTCAATTTTCCAATTGAAATGCCTAATAAGAGGATTTTGTAAATGAAGTTAAAACAATTGCGGCATGCATAACGGCCACATTGAGATATATCATGTTTTGTCTTTATAGGTGGAACCCAGATGCAATTGTTTTTAACTCCAATCAGGTCTATGGAACTCCTAGCTATTGGGTGCAATATTTGTTTAGAGAATCAAGTGGAGCAACACTTCTCAAATCACAACTTCAAACACCTGCACCATATTCAACTGCTGCGTCTGCAATTTTTTGGCAAAACCCACAAGATAAGAAAACTTACTTGAAAATAAAGGTAATATATACTCTTTGCTTTATTTATTTTTTTTGTTTTCTTACACTACATGCACAAATTATACGAGCAAGTTGGGTTACATTGAATGTTAACCGTGACGTGACTAAACATTATTTGTAATAACATTGACATAAGATTAAATCTTAGAATCATAGAGGATTTTATGTAAGAGAAATTCTAAATACATTCTTGAAAATACATTTTATTATTAATTAAAATTTATAAAAATTACTTAAGTTTCACTATTAATTGAATAATTATCACTCATACTTATAGAATTTTTAATAAATTCTAATTAATGAATGAAAATACAGTAAAAGATTATGTACTTAGCACCCTTCTTTTATCTAATCACCACTCTTGTTGTTACTATAAAAATACCAATCAAAGACAAAAGAAGTAATGATAGCATTCTATCATATATCTTTCTATGTTACGGTCTTAATAAATTTAGATAAATGTTAATGCCTCCTAGAGAATTAAAAGTGAAAAACTTGTCAGAAAATGTAACAAATAAATATTTTTCCATAATTTTCAATGCAATAAAATATATTTAATCACTTTTATTCCTTAACCTGACCTTTAGCAAAATCCATTATCTGTTACAATTGTTTTTACTAGAAATATCGTCACCTTGTTGCAATTGACTTGTAAAGGTTGCGAATTTGGCGAACAACCAAGTAAATCTCAAGATTTCTCTGAATGGATTTGCGAGCTCAGATCTAACCAAGTCCACAAAGACGATGCTTACATCTGCAAATGCATTGGATGAGAATAGCTTCACAGACCCTGAAAAGGTTCACTTAACATATAGTATATGTTTATCTTTCTTTTGATACATATGAACTAGCTAAGTTATACACATAATTATAGGCTAGTATGTGGATTTAATATGCATTTATCTTATGTTTGTTTCGCATACAGATAATACCAAAGCAAGGTCCACTTGAGAATCCAGGTAATCAGATGAATGTGATACTTCCTCCAGTTTCATTGACGGTAATTGATTTGTTAAAATAATCAATTATTAGGAGACCATAGAAATAGGTAGCGATACAACTGTAGGCCTTAGTTTATTGTACGTGTTCAATGATAACATGCTCTTTATTGATAAGGGTCAAGCATGTTTGAGCATTGGTGTATAAGGGTGGCCATTCATGTACTCTCAGACCCCCCATAATTTTTTTTTTCTTTGTAGTAATGTTCAATTTTTTTTTTAAAGTTTAGATTGACTTAGTTTACGTTCAAAGTATTTTATGGTCAAAATATTAGTGGGAAATCTTTTTAAGAAAATCAAATATTTTTTGGTTCTTCAATGTTTGTGATCTTATTTTTGTGTTGGTCTTCTTTATTAACGTGGTTTCATAATAATAATAATAATAATAATAATAATAAATAACTCGTAACAGTCTCTCAATTAATTACATGAGCAAGAGAAATCCAATAAAAACATATACAAGCATGTAAAGACAAAAATAAAATAAAAAATTCTCAAAATGCAAAGAATCAAAATCAAATTATCTATACAAATATCTAAAAACTAATAACCCAAAACACTTGCTTCACCTTTAATATAAAGAATTGTAATTTCATGAAATCAAAACAAAAAAGAACAATTATAGGCTAAGTAGGAAGACCATCAATCATTTTGGATGAAGCAAACTTTTGTTTTAGCAACACACGGTTTGCAAGGGATGCTAAGGTTTAAACAAATAAGCACTTTCTAAATTAAGGAACCAATTCACCTACATATGTTAGTAATGTTCTTGTTAAATAAGGATATCATTTCAAAAAGAAAATCTTAGAAAAGTATTATTCAATCCTTTCTTGCGATATTTATATCTTTTTTAGTGTATTTCTTTTCCTCAAGTCTCAAAATACTTTTTAAATAAAAGAAATACTAATTATAAATAATGCAAAAGTAAAAATCACATATGACAATTAAAGTATTTATAACCCACAGACAGTTAAAAAAATTCTAGATAAATCAAAATCATAAACAAATCCTATGTAATTAGATACATAATATTGATAAAATATAAATTATGTTAAATTGAAATCTTATTCAAGCTAAAATTGAAAGAAATTAAAAAATATATATTAATAATTTTAATAATTCAATTATCATCTGATTCATAAATTAAAGCTAACAACTATTATTTGCTTCAATCATCTTAATATATTTTACTTTCATTAAGTTAAAATTTACAAGATCTGACTCGAGTCGCGTACATGTATATAGTAATATTTTATTATTAAATTTTTTTTTTGCATATACAAAAACTTAAATCCAAAATTTTACTTAAACGATACTAAATCATTTATCACTCAGACTAACTTCTGTTACTAAACATAATAAATTTTTCATACAAAAAAAGGTGTGTTACTAATAAACAAAATAGTTTATTAAATTTTAGACTACCCATAATTCACTTATTTTAATTATTTAATGAATTTTTTTATGTTTCTAAAATTTTATATGTTATATTTAATGGCGCGCTATTAATAAGAGACGACCAGTGATTTAAAATCACCTATGCATTTCTATTAATAAAGTACAACATACTTATATTTCATTTAAGGATGTAAATATGTAATTCGTTTGATTAATTTAATTTTAAGAATTAAATATTTATAAATTAATTAAAATTATTTGATTTAATTTGGTTAAGTATGTACATTTTTACTGTAAAACTTAAACCAAATCAAGTTGATTTTAAATAGGATTAGTTTGGATTAGGTACTCAAGTCTCTTGTTTTATTTTAAAAATATTGTAAAAATGCCACCGAAAAATATTGTAAAAAAAAAACTAGAAAAACTGGAGGAAATGAGAAAATTTAACAAAAATAAAACAAAATTTATAAGTATATTCTTATTCAGTTATATATAAAGACATAAATCTTAATTAGTTTTACTTTTAAACAATAATACATAATATATAATATATTGTCAAGAGTATGGCTGGAACTTCTTATTTCATTTTTTCAAAAACAACTGGAGTCACAATGAGACACTACCAAGGTACTTACCAATTGAGTTTATATGTTTTGTTAGACATTTCTTTCTAATGAAAAATGTTAGATAGTAGAGATTCATTGTTTGTAATACTAATTAAAGGAACTAAACCAATATACAAATCTTGTATTTTTCTTGTCTTTTCTGAAATTTAATGTGATTGAAAAACATATGTAACATCCTTCTTCTTTTTTTTAAATAATTTCCTTAAAATAATATACGTCATTAAAATATCATTAAAAAATTGGTAATAATTTGTTTAATTTTGTAAAAATAGTACAATATGGAAATATTAATTAATAAATTTAATAAATTTATAACATTTTTCAAATTCAAATTTGTCCATCAATGAAATAAAATACATTAAAAGATTTATACATCTATTACATTTAATTTAATTACATCTGAACAGTTCATTTCCCACAATCTTTGACAAGTATGACCCTAGAACGGACCAACCATCTCTATCTCCTTTCTTTCATTATCTGAAAATATCAGTAAGGATTAGTATTTCCCGCTCCACTAAGTCTCTTTTATGATAAATTATCTTAAAAGAACTAAAGTTATTGCCTAATATCCTATTCAAATTCATTACCAATAGTGAACAACTCATATTAAAACTTATCATATCCAAGCACATGCAATAACGCAACCATCAATCAGAGCATGTACAATAATTCATTCGCTATACATATATTTTTATATTGACATGTATGTTATTATACATGTATCATATCATTTCAATTAATATGTCACAATAAATGTGTTCCAATCACATCCGTCTATGTATTACAACACACATATCATAACAACATAAATCGATATATTACGATACATATATTATAATCATACGATTTCTATACTATATCACATTCATTACACTTTCACATTCATTACACTTTCATATTCATTGTCCCTGGAATTCCTTGAGTACTTCATAGCATAGATAGCTGCTGGTTAGCCGCAGCAACACGGATACACACGTGTGCCGGCAAGGTCCCTTTTAGCAAAGGTATAGTCAGGGGTTTAGGTTAGGAAATGAGTGTGAGGTTTGTAGTGTCTTTTCTCTCTATTTTCATTAATTCTTGCGCAATCGTGGGAAGACATACACTACCCTCATTTCTTCTAGATTTCTCAATCGTCCCTGTCTTCCACACCCCCAGTGTATCTCTTTGATATCTATACTTATTCTATTTCTCTTACTCAATATTTCACATTTCAATATTCTTTCCATCAATCAGCAGATCATGATACGTGAGTTACGATTTATATAAATTCTTAGATCACAATATATATGATAATACACCCTTCAGTGGATTATAATTTATATCATAATCACCCTTTTCAAGTTACTTAGACTCACGTATCATAATCACGCGTCATATTCTTTCTCAGTCATATTCCCCTTACTCGTTAATATATTATATGCTTTCAAAATCAACCAACACTTCAATCATTCCTATGATTCTGCTCATATTGTATACATTTCAGCTATCAAATTATATCTATACTTATTGCATTATGACAATCCAACATATAAAGTTATCATACAATATCATATCATGCAATCAATACAATACATCAATCTTAGCATAGAGATTACCACACAATATCACACTATACAATCAGTATAATATGCCGAAAGTCGGACACCTTCGAACTCAACCTAACTCGTACAATCTCAATATAATCTTCTAACCTAAAGTTCATTATGTCTTTTATTACTTAACTCATATACATCTTAAGTAACCAAGTTCTAAAATCTCTTAATGCTACTCAAGCCCATTTTTTTCTCTAAAAATTTTGTTTTATTAGTTTAAAATAAACCAAGAACCTTTCTATATATCAAAATACATTTTCACAGTATGATTTCATAGAAATTATGAATTATTACTAAAATAGGTTACTCAGATTCTCCTAAGATCTTTGTATATGTATATAAAACTAAAGCCCAAGAATACTCCCCTTACCTGGTAACGGTTCCTCCAAACTAGTTCTCTGAGTGATCTACAGAGAGATTCTACAATATCCACAGAAAGATCTTTCAAAAGATAAGATTTTCTAAGTATTTCGAGGGAAAGATCTTAACATGAGAAGAGAACCGAAGAAAAGTAATAAAATAGAGATCTGAGCTTCAAGAAACTTACTTAGATTTGAGAAAAACGGATGTTTGAGCTCAAACCTAAAGGAGATTCAAAGTTATTGGAAGTTTTCTCTGATAAGGGAGAGGGAGAGAATGAAGAGGATGAAGAGAGATATGTGATTTGGTTGAAAATGGAGATTTTAGGGTGAGAGTTCTTTAAATATTTCTCAAACTCATGACTTTCTCGCTACAGCGAAAAAATCAGAACTTTTCTTCCTTTGCTGTCTGTCATTCTAGCTACAGCGAGAGAAGCATCATCGCTACAACAAGAGATTTTAGCTACAGCGAGAGGGCTTCAGAATGTTCCATTTTTACTACCTTATTCTCGCTACAACGAAATATCCTACAGTTTACATCAATTAAACACTTCTAATTTCAAATAACATGCACTAATAACTAACATTAATCGCAATAATAATAAATTACAAAATGAGGGTGTTATATCATAAATTAACTAAAAATTAAGAAAATCACAATAATTAAGAAAACAGCTAGAATTTAAAATTTTATAAAAAAAAACTATTACTTAATTTTCTATTATATCCTCCATTTAATAATTAATAGTTCCCTTATTTAGTATCTTCTATTAAATACACATTAATTATTATGAATAAATTTTCAAAAATTAAATAATTATTTACGTATTTTAAAAAATGATAATAAAAAAATTAACAACCATTCAAGAAAAAAAAAACAGTCGTCAATGTTAATATATGATTTTGGAGAGAATTTACGCGTTCAGGTGGAGGGTAATTCAAAATGTAACGTTAACATGATATCATTAAACATAATTTAAAATATAATTAAGCTTAAACATTGCCAACTAATATTTGAAAATTAAAAATAATACATTTTTGGTATTTTAAATAAATTCTGTCAAATCTGCGTTATATTTTAGTGATGATTAGATAAAATTTTGAAATATAAGACTTAATTTAATGTTTAAAAAATAAATATAAAAAATTAAAATTAAAAAAGCAAAATTGCACGTCCATTTAAAAGATAAGAACTAAAATTATAAGTAACCTAAAAAAAGTTTTAAAATATTTAATTAATTCATTTTTCTAAAATTTAGAGTAAAAAATTAAAATTTTGAATATTTTAGATAAAGAAAATTAATTAATACACTAAATTTGTATAATATTAAAAGTATAAAAAATGAATTAAAAAAATTTAAATCACATGAATTAAATCAAAAGGAAAAAATATAATGAAATAATTTTTTTATTATAAATTATAAAAGTATATTGTTATATTTAAAAATATTTGTTTTTTATTTCTAATTCGGTAATTTAAAACTTTTAAGCCATACATTTTTATATTTAAACAATAAATTAAAGCTTAAGATTATTGAGTATTCCCCCAGTTTATGTTCATAGATTACTTTTATTATTAAATTTGATATCTTTTGTAAAAGTCAATTTAATAACAATATATGTTAAACTCCATCTAGAATATAAAACAATTTACCCTAATTAAAAAATTGAAAAGCATTGATTAAATTGAATCATGATGACAGAAAGGAAGAACTGTGATCAAAAGAGTTGTTAATGTAAAAGTCAACAAGAGTAGCTAGTTGCTGCTAAAGCACTAGCACTACTAGACACTGATATGATTTTGATTCATCTTAGCCAATGATTGTTACTCACCCACGCTCGTCGAACCAGTACTATAGCCATTAGCCACACTCCAGTCTCCACTTTTTATTAATACTTATTTTATAAAATGATTGTTAAGGGGATAAATAAAAAATAGAACAAAGGTTTAGTTAGTATAAAACAAAACAAAACAAAACCAAACCAAGCCTGGGGTCATCTCGATTCGACGTCGTTTCACTCCCGAACCCCACCTTTCCCAGAATCACCATTCACCACCACCATCCCCACTTACTCCTCCTAATTCTTCTATTTTATTCAAACCTTTTCGCTCTCTCTCTCTCTTGTTTTTCTCTCTCTAACATGGAACAGCAGCAGCAGCGCCACGTCAGCACTAGCGGAGCTAGTAATCCTGTGCTCCGCTACCCAACCGTGCGCGCCACCTTCACCCTCCCCTTCGCGCGCCTAATCGCCGCCGACCGCCGCCGCCTTTTCCTCTCCGACTGCGCCGACCATCGATCGGACGACGAAGACGACGGCGACGGCGGAAACTGCGCGTACTCGCGGCCGGTGCTGGTTCTGGACATGGTGTGGAACCTGGCCTTCGTGGTGGTGGCCGCTGGCGTGCTTCTCTCCACGTTCCGTGAGCGACCTTCCACTCCTCTGAGACTCTGGCTCTGTGGCTACGCCTTCGAGTGCGTCGTACACATGGCTTTTGTGTACTACGATTATCGCACCTCAATTCGCGATTCCTTGTCTCACACTTCCTATAGGTTAGTAACTCTACCTCTGTTGTTACTATTTCAATTACTGTGTCAACTAACTGAAACAATTGATTAGTTGCAAACCTTTTTTTTATAAATTTTTGTGTATCATTTGTTTTTCTCCTGTGGAATTTTTAGTGTATTTCCTTGTTTATTTTTATGTTGATTTTTTATAATTTTTTTTATTTACAATTTTGTGTGTGTGGTTTTTGGTAGTCACACGTAATTGTTAAGGTTACTACTTGAATGCACAATCTATGGTCAAGTAATTTGGTTATATATGAATTGTGACGAGGAGTTTGGGATATTATGTGCCATTAGAAAGTTGATGGTGTTGGATTTGATGTAATGATGGCTCATTACTAGTGATGGATAAAGTAGAAATTAGAGTCTGCTGAATTTTGTGTCTAAGATAGAAAGTTTAGGGGCGTAATTATGCTAGTGAGGTATGGATTACAGTTATTATTACAATAGTAATTGCCTTCTAAAATTATTCATTGATTATTATAGTGTATTAGAAGGAGTTGAGTTTACATGAACTTACTCCCTTTTCAACTTTCGTTGTGTAAATGGGTCAAAAGGAAGGTGCGTTTTCTTACTTGAGGCTGCATCTGAATCAGATGCTGAGACATTATCACCTAATGGTGATGAACTAAATGTGTTCGAAGAAATGGGGATAGATCTTGCAGACTATCTTTTCCTTAGAATATCTTTACCCCGTTTACACCATCTCTAGAATAATAATGATCTTATGTTGTCATGTGTGCTTTCCTTTCTTGTCCTTTACATTGGAAGATAATTGAACTCTCATTTCAATTTATTCTGTATTGTTTTTAGCATTCTGAAGAAATTAGAGCCTATTAACACTCTGGCATCATCTGTTTGGTGGGTATTTGGATTTTATTGGATTGTTGTGGGTGGGCAAGCACTTTTAGAAGATTCTCCGCGTCTCTATTGGTAAGTGAGAACCTTAGTTTGGATTTTGTTTTCCTTTTCTCATTTTTTTGCCCCCGGCCTGGGGGGGGTTGGTTAGATAACAAATGTTATTATGTATGCCAAGAAAGCATAATTGAAGTAGTCAAAATTTTACATGTGGGTAACCTTTTGTCTCTATGTAAAATAACAATTCAAATTTTGGTAGAGTTGAGATGAAGTTATGCAAGATTCATCTTTTTTTTCCTTTTGGAAAATCATTATTATTTCTCATTTCTAAATTTCTCAAGCTGGCCTAATAATTTTCATTTGTCTTGCTTTTCCAACCTTGAAACTAGTTGATGAAATACCATATCCCTATTGCTTTAACTAAATAGCTCTACTATATGATTTGACCCTTGGTCAGGACTAGCAATTGTCATAATGTTTCAATTTTATATATAGTTCTTGCTCTGGAAATTTGGGGTTACCTTTTCCATCACATGACACATGCAAATCCTTTTGGAAAAGGCTCCTACTTTCTTGTCTGAGATGAATTTTGAACAAAAAGGTTGCTCTTGTGAGGTTTTGGTTAATATGACTATTTCAAACTAGACCTGTCCAAGCTGTAGCTCTATTTTATTGGGATTAGGCATTTTGTTGATCCTATTGATTCAGACTTCGTCTTTGTAAAACTGAAAAATGATAAGCCCCAGCCCAAATAAATAATGATATAATCTGTTAGTATTTAACTAATACACTACCTGCGTACTTCATCTTCTTACATAGTTCTTTACTGTTATGTTTTCTAACAATTTATTGGGTATATGGGATGCTCAACGATGTATTTATCACATTTTTTCAGGTTAACAGTGGTCTTTCTAGCATTTGACGTTTTTTTTATTATCTTCTGCATTGGGATGGCGTGTATAGTTTTCTTTGCTCTCTTCTGCATCATCCCAGTAATAGCATTAGCTTATGCTATGAGAATTAGAGAAGGTGCATCAGAAGAAGATATCAGGTTACTTCCAAAGTATAGGTTTAGTCAGTCAAATTTATTGGAGATGGTTAATGACAACAAGAAGCAACTTGTTAAAGCAAGAGTAGATTCATGCACCGGAAGCCATAGGAGTGAACTTTCTCTCCATCCAGATGATTCAGTGAGTACTGACTTTGTTCTCATATCTCCCATTCAGAAATTATTTGTTGGTTGCACCTTGTAACTGATTTCCTCGTCAAACTTCATTCCCTTTACTGCACAGTTATTTTTTATGTTAGTCTGATATTCTTGGTCTGATATATCATTCTTTAATTACTCCTTTTCATTGCCTGTCTTCTTTGTCCAGTGCATTTATCTTGTTCATGCATAAGTTTTTGAAAGGAAACCTGGAATTTGCTTTAAGTTTCCAAGCTCCAAAGTAGATTTCTCGAGGATTTTAAAGACATTCTGTCAAGGACCTTAAACAGTGACATGGAGGAAATCCCCCATCTGAAATGTGGAACTAAATTGTGCCAATGTGGAAAAACATTTACGCATTTCTGATGGGGGATTTCTTCCCTGTCACTGTTTAAGGTCCTTGACAAAATGTCTTGAAAATTTGATTTAGACGATGATGGGTAGATCTAGGGTTTCATGGAGGCAAGGGAAGTGGTTGTTGAGTGGATGGGTGGATGGATCTTAATGGAAATGTTCAATACGCAAATAAATGGAATGTATTGGACTTTATAATATATGGTTGAACTAGTTGGATAATGGGTTGAAGATCGTTTTGCACCCCAGAATGCATTAATCGATACACCCTCATTGTTACCCTTGATTCGACTCTAAATTTGCTTGTGTTCGTTGATTTAATATTCATATTCAGGAAGTATTATCCTGATTCATCTAGGTTTATTTCAAACTGCATTTTTTCCTCACATGAAGGAGAACAGGGTAGTGAAAATTGATGTGAACTTGTTGCGACCTGAAAATTGCTTAGCATATAATTGAAATAGATCATGAAAGTATGAAACTACTGAAAGATAATTGAACTGCTACTGATTATGTTATATAGGAATGCTGTATCTGCCTATGTCCATATGTTGATGGAGCAGAACTGTATCGCCTTCCCTGTACCCACCATTTTCATTGTGAATGCATCGGCCGTTGGCTTCGGACCAAAGCAACCTGCCCGCTCTGCAAATACAATATCCTTAGAGGCGATACATTGGTTTGACCCTTCTTCGAGATAAAGATTGTACAACTGTGAGGTGCATTATCACTCCAAACAAACATGACACTGGGAACCAGAACTTTGATAATCTGATGACTAGTGTTGGTGTATAGTAAGTAGAAAAGAAAATGAAGTGCTCCACCCTTTCTGCTTTGAAAGGGTTCTCTAGTCTTAGGATTTCAGTATCCATGAAGCTCTTGCATCTTTAGAGTAGAATGTTCTTAAGTTTATGATGGGGGATGTATATATTGTCGGTTTCCCCATAATTTGTACTTACGAGGGGATTTATGAAAACAATTTTTCTGTACAGAGATCATCTTTTCGTTGTGTACTTTCCCCACATCTACCATCAAATAAATTCGAGTATAAAGATGACAAAATTGCAGACTAATATAAAACGTGCTCTTATTCTAGCTTGCCAAAAAATGAAATAGTGAACTCAAAGTTTGGTTTTCCTTACTTTCACTTCAAAGATTTTGATGAATTAACAAGATGCTAAGTGAACTATTAATACTTTTATCGGCTGACAGAATTTATTCCTTCAACATGCACATATAGACTCTTTCAACATGAAAATAAAATATTCATTCCTAACTTTCTTCTGAGTGATACGACCGAATTTGGTCATTTCTTTACTTATTTCTAATATTTGAAATGCACATAAAATATTCATTCCGTTAACTTTCTTCTGAATGAGATGACTGGAATTTGGTCACTTCTTTACTGATTTCTTTTCATTATTTAAAATGCACATAAAATATTCCCAAGTAATATACAACAATGCAAAATGGGATCAATTGAGAAATCCAAATAATATAGAACAATACACCTATAAAAGTTATGGCGGCGTGTATTCCTAATCAAACCCCTCTTTCAATATTAGAACCAAAGGAACTGCACATAACATACTTTTTTATAATTTTTGCATCCATTTTTCACCTTTTATCGCTTTCTTTTTTCAATCACGTCACATCTCCTCTCTCTCATAAAATAGTGGCAATGATATATCGAAAACTTAGACCGTAAGTTGATGTTTGGAGTACTATTAGATGCTGTAATCAGGCATTTGACCGTGAACAAAGCCATGAATTTGGAGGATTAACAAAAGCAAAAACCAACTGTATGTTCTTCGTTCTGGGAGGCTCTGCCACATGATACTTCTTTCTACCGTTTGGTAACTGCAAAACTTTGAACCATAAACATAATCTTTCAGTTGACCCACAACAAGAAAAACATAAACTTTTCGAATCGCTTTGTGTGATCGAGCTATATCTGCCAGCCAAGAATGAAGAGGTCAAAATGCCACCATAACATTATACTTGTCCATCGGCCCAAATGAAAAGGATTTGCCTAATCAAAATGAGTTAACCAGAATTCGGCTCTGCTTAAATTCAATCCAAAATTTGGGTAAAGAAAACATGGATAATTACATGGCAAAAACAAGATACCGAGTTAATTATCCACACTGGCATTAGAAGACACGACTCATTACATTCCTCAACTTTCTTCTGCACTAAATGATAAAATTTGCTCCTTACCCTTTTTTCATTGCTTAACCAGCAAATAACGTGGACAACACATTGCCAAGCTTTCTAAACACTGCAAAATGCGATTAACTGAGGTGCATTTGACATTGGACCAATAAAAAAGGTTCCATTCTCATCTATTCTAAAAATAGAAGAAACATAGAACAGAACCCGTTTATCATGTCCTATCCCATTCTAACCTGAATATCCAAACGCAATAGCCATTTCATCTATATGACGACACGTGAATTTCAAATTAAAACCCTAATGCAACATGAGAACCAAATTGGGGACAGTTACATGAAGGAAACCAAGCATCCTTGATTGAAGTTGACAAAATTGTCCAATTACATAATACACTGTGGACGTAAAAACAACATATAACAATGAAAATAAAAGTAGAATCAACATTTTAAACCTGCAAAAAGAACATTAAAACTGTGATCATCATACATTCTTCAACTTCTTCATCTTTGAAGGTGGCCATCTACCCTTCTTCCTCAACCTCCGTTTCCGAAGAAGCCTTTTCCTCCGCAACCTTATCTTCTTCGCTAGCTTCATCCTCAGCCTCTGCTCTTCCCTCTCCTTCAGTTTTGACTCCAAAGGAAGCTTCTCAACCGGCACACTACCACCCCCCTCTTTCTCGCTCTCCGCCGGAGGAATTGGCTCCGACCCACCTACCTCCGGTGAACCCGCACCGCCGGAATCATCGCTGGCGGCTCCAACAAAGGCCGCTTTTTTCTTCCTTTTCACGAAAAAGGGTGTCGTGATTCGAAGTCCGTTGAAGGGCTTCAGGGGCACAGCGAGGTATAGTCTTGAAGCTGACATAGTTCGAGAAAATTTAGATGCGAATGACAACAAATGTAAAAATAGACAATGATGTTAAAAGTTAAGAATTGAGAGTGAAGGGTACTTACCAGAGGAGGTGGGAAGTGCGAAAATGGAGGAAGAAGGTGGGAGTGTGATGGAATTGAAGGAGAGAAGTGCCATTTTTTTGTTTTGTGAATTTTGACGTTGTTTGGGGGAGTGAAGAAAGAGGAATGGAACTAGATTTTTTGGATAAGCTACGCCATTTGATGCGTGTCCAGAGTCCTCACACCCACACCACAATATTAGTCTCTCTCTCTATCAACAAATACCCGTATACTCTTTTTTAAGACGAGTCATGATTCAAGATTAGGGAAAAGAAAGGTTTTTTTCCTTAACTAGGGTTAATTCAGTAACAATTTATCAAAATAGTGTTTATTTTGAATAATTTCTTGAATAGGGTAAAAAGTACACGTGGCACTAATATTGTTTAGTAAGGAGAGTAATATTGTATTATTTTTTAAAGACAGTATTATTTTTAGAAGAGATGATAATGCTATTAACATGTCTTATATAAAGATAACTCAAATATTTTTACACATGTTACACATTAAACATGTTCTATAACTTACGTAGATCAGATAAATTTTTCTATTATAAGTTGTTTCAGCTTATGGTATTTGACTTTAAATAACCTCTAATAATAGTGGATATTTCTACAAGAAACACTGAACTAAAGTTCTAAGAATTTCTTCTTTATATATGAAACTTTAGTTATATTATTGTTTTGCACAGTCAATTTTTTAGGAGTGGATGTGTATTTTCTCCTTATACAATATTATATAACACACTAGTAAAGTTGACATTCATCGAAGGTATCAAAATGTGGTAATATAATTGGGTTATATGTTTTTTTTTTTTATAAGCACAAGAGTTTCATTAATTAAGTACTAGGGGTGCTTAACCCAAATTTACAAGTATTAAGTACTATATACTAAGTCTCACAAATCAACCCAAAAACAAACAATCTCTCCTTGACCTAACCTTCTCCTATATAATAAGAAGGAAAATATGTTCTGAAGTAATAGCTCCATGTGATCATGCAGGAAAGAACAACTCCATGGTAAGGATGGGTTCAGAGCACCAAGTAAGGAATGAGAAGCAGATTGTTTTAGCATGAATTGTAAGAGCTTGTTATGTCTTCAATTTAATCATCTTCATTACTTTCAGGGCATCCAATTCACAATTAGAAAAAATAATTTCATTTCTATTTTTTCAAATACACCACAATGTCAAGCTCCAAATAACCAAAGTTACTTTCCACCGTTTCTTACTCGGTAGCAGCTCAGAAAAACCAATAGCGTTCTGTACTAAAGAAGAATATGAGCATATTGAACGATTCAACCAAGCTGAAATGTCCTCCCAAATAGACTATACAAAACTACAATCTATGAATAAATGTACAGTGTTTTCTACCTCTCTTTTACAAAAAAACATATCTATCATTCTCTAAAATATGATTTAGTCCCCTTCTAATAAGATTAGCTTTGGAGGGAAAAAAGTCATGGATCACCTGCTATATAAACACTTGGACTTTATGAGGAACCCAACAGCGTCATACTTTGTTCAAAATTGGGTTATATGTTGATTGGATCATCTCAGAATGGATGATAATATGTGTTAGGGTTTATCTAAGATTGTCCAAAATATTTGCCACAGTAAGTTTGGGTTGATGATGGCAATTTTAATTGCTTTATTACGACTATATATTTGACTTTAAATTAGTAACCACTAGAGATGATTCTCATTTAATATGAAATTCAAGATTTAAAATGGATGATTGAAGATAATAAAAGTCATATGTCAAAATTGTAGTTAATTTCAACTCTAACAGAGACTTTGATAGAAACTATATTTGTATTCATTATGTCATGAATAATATTAACTTCGATTGTAATACATGATTGACCATTTAATAGTTACGCTCCTTCATTTTCTCTTTTTTCTTCACCTTTACATATATGAAATTCCTTCCCCTTCGCGCTTTACTCACCTCCTCTCTCCTTCTTTGCTTTTGAACTTCTATGAAGATTAAGAAGTTATTTGTAACATTTTCAAATGTATGAAAAGAAATTATTTAAATTAATTTTATTTGTATATTTTCATATTTTGAATGAACAAAAAAAATTAGATTTTGAGAAAAATTTATCATTATTCCAATGCATTGGTTGATCAAGGGTATACTACAAAAAAGGTTAGCAAAAAATATGATTTTGTTATAATTATAAATTATAGTTATGTTTTTGTTTTTCTTTGTAAATTTTAATTTATTGTTATAGTTAGCCATTGTTAAATTTATAGTAATTGAAAGAATAATTATTAAATGTAATTACAAAATAATTATCATAATATGTTAAATTTAGAGTAATTGAAATAATAATTATTGAATATAATTATAAATTTTAAAAATTATTAATGATTATGAAGTTAAATTAATTAATTTGAAACTATTATTTAACTTTTAGGTAAATAGAAAATTATTGTAATAATTAAATCTTTAATTAATATTTGTCAATAAATTTGAAATATTAAAATATTCAATTTCTATGATTTTATCTTAATGATGTCTTGTTTAACTTAATTAATAATTACTAGTAAATAGAGTTTATAATTTGTGAAATATGTAATGATAATTATGTTAATATTTTATTAATTAAATGTTAATAGTTAGTAAATGTACAATTGAAATTGTTCAAATCTTAAATAATTTCCATAATTGAATTTCTTAAGATGAAATTTATTCGGTTAGGTAAATTCAAGTATTAGAGTTATTAATGTTTAATGTAAAAATTATTATAATTAAGAATTGTTAACGGTAACAAATTTATTGATTTTTCTTTTAATTTAGTCAAGATATTAATTTTTATTTGATTTAAATTGTGGACTTAGTTTGATTTGTCACACAACTTGATTAAGATGGCGAAGTGATTTAGATGGCGAAGAGGTAGGATCATAAATCCTAACTCAGATTGCATATTTTACTATAGTACTTATTTTCATTGTTAAGGTCAGTGATTATTTGTTCTCTAAGCTTCACAAACAATATAGTAATTAACATGAATTTTGCTCCTCTTAATACACTGTTGACGACCTCCAAAAAATTAGTAATTATGTGACTGTAACATTATTTATCACTTTTCCTTTCATCCGTTATCAATCCATGTCTAAATATCTAGCAATTCATTATAAAACTTGTTTAACTTAGCTTAAAAAATATAATTGCATTGTGTATATCTAATACTTCGAAAAAAGTTTCACAGTTAAAGATATAACAATAAAAAAATAATACATCTTCAAAGAATACACCTAATCTAATTACATTTTTCTTTAATTTCATATTTTTTTAATTTGTGATTGAAATTGCTTGCAGTGTGATAAATGAACTACACATGTACACATGATAGAAATTTAGAGGTTGCCACCTAATATATAAATTAGACACCTTTTATATTTTTATTTTGTTTAGTATCAAAAATAATCCTACCTTTTTAATCACATAAAGATGGAACATAGGCAAAAATCATCCTTATGCTTATAAAATTTATTCTTCAACAATTACAAATACTATTGGAAGCACACCATTATTTTCATTTTAAGTTATAACAATCAGCTATGTTTGTTGATATTTATCATACAAAAAAAGTATCATCTACCAATATTATAGGATTATGAAAACTAGATATTTTACAACATTGTTTTAAGGACCAAAATAACCGGTAAAACACTCTAAACTTCTAATTCACTTGATGACTTCTTACATAATTATTAGTCTCAATTTTATAAACAAAGTTAAAAGCATGTAATTATAAGTATTCTAACCATTTGAGCAATGTGGCATAAATTCATCCTAATCACCAAATACAATTATAATAGCTTTTTGTTTTGCCTTCTATGTTTTTTTGTATGATTATATGCAAATTATTCACTAATTTTGTCTTGAATTAATGAAATTGGCACCTATGATTCTTGTTTCACCATACCTACGTGTAATATAAAATATGTTTGAGACCATTACTCGTTAAATGTCTTGTAGATTAAATATAAATTTGCTCTATTTAAAATGACATACAAAGAATGCATGAGTAAATAAAGTTTGAATCTAGCTTTTAGTGGTCTTGAATGATCAAAGCATTTATATACATATATGTATCATCCTATTTCGTAATTTTTCACTTGTTTATATTTTTAGGCAATGTTGCTCTTACTCTCCAAAGACATGCACTATAATAATTTTAATACTTCACATGTATGGTTGCTTTTGACTCAATCACAAAAAAACTTTGATGTCTTCTCATTACATGTTTTATAGTCATTTTTACATTCTCTTTAAAGTCAAAGAGTTGGCCAACAATACATCACCTTGTATCCATGATTTGCGGTCATGCAACTTAAAAAAAATTCATTTCTTGATTCAAGTGTTCTCAACAATGTCAATATATTACGGAGTTATATTCTAAAATAGAGTTTCAATAACTAAAAAAATTAACTTATTCAAATGTCACAAATACTTAACAATCTTAAATAATACATGTTGATTGTTCTTCCATGTTGAGATTTGTTGTAATATCAAGAATATTCATCATGTGAATCAAAATTATCTTTCAAATTAGTATTGAAAGAAATGTCTAATGGGATTTTGCCTTCATCTTCATCATCATAATTATCTTCATCTTCAAATATTTTATTATAATTAGTTTAAATAAAATTTGTTAAATTGTTATGACCTAATATTAATATGTTTGATAATATTATATATATATATATATATATATATGAATATTATGAATGTATCTACTAATATATCTTCTTTCATTGTACACCATCGTTCTTACTAACATTTCTACGTAAAAGTAATAAATTTAACTCTAATAGTTATGATGTCTATATATAATTCAACTAAACTTATCTAATTTTATTGTTGACGTGTACTTTGATACAATCAATATTCTCATCATTACATATATCCAAAATTGTGTCTTATCCACCACTTAGTATATATCAAAATTCATGAAATCAATCTTAAATTTATGTAATCACTAAACAATTTAAATTTTGTATAAATCCTTCTTTTTAACATATATTAAGTAATATCACATTCTATCTTAATATTTTTTTCTCCCTTCAAAAGTAATACCTTTGTAAAACTATCATTCCAATATATTTAATCACAATTTCATTCATCATGCATTTAAAAAATAATAAATAATATTATCAATTAATTAATAATTATGCATTAATTTCCTTACTAATATTATACAAATAATTTAAATATATCAATTATATAATTTAACATATATTATAACTAAACTATATCATATCACATTTATTTTACACAGGTTTATTATATAAAATTTATTAAAAGATTTCCTACATACAACATTACTTAAATTATATTTATTATTAAAAAGATTATATTAACGCATAAAGTATTATAAATACAACTAAACAATATTAATTATTTAAAAAATTAATCCACAAATATTATAACAATTACAAAATCTACTACTATATTGCTAAAGGAATGGTAACCTAATTCACCATGAAAATTTTGGAACTCATTCTTTCATTTTTGTTTAATTGCAAGGATATATATACGCTTTGCTTTGGATAAAAGAATGCATCCCATCTTATTACATAGTAGACAAAAGACTTTTTCTTGTCACATGTCCAAATAAGAACGGGTATCGTATTTGTAGTGGCTGAAGAGTATTATCCCTCACCTCCGTGTGTGTGACAGACACCATGTCATCCTACAACAATATCATTGTTGCTACAAACAATACTATCTTTTTTTAAAAAATGTTATTGTCCATAATTAAGAGGATACTGGTGCCACGTGTCATTTTTCACCTTAGATAAAGAATATGTTCCAAATAAATCTTATTTTGATAGATATTTCCTAAATTAACCTTAATTAGTTAAGAAAAGAAAGCCGAACTCAATAAATTAGATTATCTTTTAAAACAATCAAAATAATGGATGTAAATTGTAAAACTTCTAAGTGGGGAGCAAACGACATTTTGTTTGATTGGTATGTAAAACAGTAAAATAACCAAATACTGTGAATTTGATTTATAAAATAATACATGAATAATAAAAGAGTAATGTATAGATTTTATTATTTTAATTTAAAAAGGTTAAGTTACTCTTTTAGGCACTTGTGTAAAAATATATTAAAAAAAATTTTATTTAAAAAATAAAAGAAATAAGTATTAGTTATTAATTAACGAAAATAAGCCTGATAGACAAGCAACTTAGTATCACTTAAACAAGATTTCAAGTTTGAATCCATATATATGCAAAAAAAATATTCAATGATAGACTCACCTATTACGTTCAAGTTCGTGACCTAAAATCCAAATTAAATTGAATAAAAAATTAAAAAAAGTATTGATCATTAAATTTTATCATAAACTTTTATATTAAAAAAGCATGCAACTTAAAAAAAAAATCGTGACTTTTCTAAATAATTATGCAATGTTAAAAAAATTGATATAAGATTTAGATTTATTTCTCACTTTTATATAAAAAAATATATTATCTTACTAAATAGATTCTCTTCTTTACACCCTATTGCATACATAAGCAATTTTTAGATCTCAATAATTACTAATATATAAATTAAAAATTAAGTGGTAAAGTAAATCAAATTACTCCTATAAATTAAAATCAGTTTTTATTTTTTTGTTTTTTTAACTTTCTCATAAAACTTTTTTAAATTTAAAGAGATAAATAATTTTTAATTTATAAAAAAATTTATTCATTTCTTATTCTTATTGTTTTTCTTATAAAGGACTTTTCTAATTATTTACCCGATTTGAGAAATTCATAATCTTTAATTATCAACATCAGGGGCAAATTTTTCTTCGTAAGACTAGGGCACAAAATTGAAAACTGAGTGATTGTAATAAATAGTAGCTTTGTGGGTTGTTAAACTTAAGCATTGTCTATAAATAAAATTCAGCGCAAGAGACAATGTATTGTATCTTTTATGCCTATCACAACGTTGCTGAATTTACATTTTTCTGAGCTGCATACGCCGTTTACTTAATATGATTGATACATCTGAACCATCAAGAGTCCCAAAATAAATACATCACCGGCCATTTCTCTAACGCCAATTTTCAAATGCACATAACAGAACTTCGGCGCACGCCGCCGGGGTGGGGGCATAAAGTTGTCCCAAAACACTGAACAAATAACGTTAACATCAAAATCGGCATGACGAAATTTCGAAGAAATTCTCATCATGGAAGCATGTGGCAGCGAAATAAGAGGGGGTATGTGCAACAAAACCCACTGCTCCAGCACTGCAGAATTAAGAAATAAAATACAAAACTTCAAATTGTTTGCTGTAAGAACTAATACCAAAATAGGACATTGTGTCCAGTCAAAACCCAATATTATCTACGAAGACTAATAGTTCAATCATTTTTTTTTTCTTTATAGCTTTAGAGCCTGATTCAATTATTCATCCATGTTCCTCAAATCTATTATAGATAGCATGCTTTAAAAAATAGATATAGAAATCGAGAAAGCAGTGAAACTCAAGGTAGTCTTACCACAGAAAGCAATGGTCCCTGCTTAAACTTCCCGTGAAATGAAAATGAGATTGGCTTGGGATCATCTCCCGGCCCTCTTATAAATCCACTAAAACATATATAATGGAAAAATAAATCATGTCAATTGATATATATTTTCAAAAATATTTGGCAAAGCATAGACAATTTTAGTGTTTAAGACAAATAAATTCAAATTTAAAAAAATTCAAAAATAATGGACACAAACAACAGAAGTCACTCCTGTAATTAGACCATTTTCAACCATGAACTCACATTAATGATGTAGATATGAGAGGAGTCCTTCTTGTATCATATATGGCGATCAGACCCTTGTATATATCATCTCCACCTTTAAAAGACACAGCCAATCGCTCTCCTGAATTATCCCATGCTATCTTTTCAATTCCCTGACTGAATGAATACAAGATAACCTATAACCAGTTTTTCCAGCATATAAAACACAAACCATATCTCTGGCAAATCCCAACTGTTCAACAAATTATTGAACTTTAAAACAAATTCATCTATACCTGCCTGTCAATGATAATATCTCTGGCAAATCAACAGGTAACAAATGTGCATCTGGAAAGTCAACAATGAGCAATAATCAACATATTACATTATTTTCAGGAAAAGAATTGAAAAAGCACAAATCATGAATGCTACAACCCCATATATTTATCCTAAAAATTGAATTGAGCCTAAAAATTCAAACAAAAACTCACAAGAATAACCATCTCAATTTCATTGCATGTTTCTGTTCAGTTAGCAGAACAAGATTATGTGCAAACTCCCAAATATCCTTGCAAAAAAGTTTCCTGCACCTTCCTTACCAGGCCCTTTTCAGCAGTAGAGCATGAACCAATTAAAACTTCCCTTCTTTGATTAAGAATAATACTTGATTGCAATAATTTTCAGTGTTTCACTCTTCTAATATATCATGGGTATGCCAAAAGTTATACAGAGTTTAATAATAAATCCACGTCTCTAATATCAACCCCCTCTAATCCAATCAACTTAATAGTTTCTGTTGATAAATATACGTGTTTTGCAAAGTTTTCTACTTGAGTATTTATTACTTGTAGTGCACCCAAAGCAGAGGAGCACGTGTTTTTACATGGTCAGTTTTTGGCATCGAGATTTTGGGTTTACAATCATATGCTGTATTTCGGAAATATATTTTAAATTCTTCCATCTGTCACTTTTTTCCTTTTCCATCCAACTCAAATTTCATTATGGTAAAAGAGCATTTCAGTACCATTCGCCATGATCTTTGCCACCAGTTCTTTCATGGTCTATGTTAACTATAAATAGACTATTTAGGCATCAGTGTTTCGTGTCACTCTCATTTAGACCATTTTAATAAACATTATATATCCCGCTCTCTCTCTCTTTTCCCTTTTCTATCTAGTTTCTATATTTCAATACCATATTTCCATTTTGCAGTATTAATATATCAAGATACAAAAACCATAAACGGATCATCACAAGATTTCTGAATGAAAAGGTCAGATACCTAATGAGGGAGGCTTTGATGCAAAGTGAACAGATCCCAAAGTTGATGATTCAGAAAAGGCAAGGAGTATCATACGCCCATCTGGATCCCATGTTGCACCCTTGATCACACATTGAAAGTAGAAAGCAGTTAAACAGATAAGTAATAGCATAATGTGATAGCCATCAGACCAGAAAAATTATAACAATGCCAATCACTTCAGACTACGATAGTATATTTCAATCAAATGTTAAGTTCCTCTATAATTGTATCTTATCTTTATAGAATCTTTATCATTGTATCTTATTCCTTTCTCTAATTAACTCCAGTCTCGTCAATAAGTTTCTTTTTTATATATTTTTCCTTTTAGAAAATCCAGAACATTTCCCATTGAGATTTCTGAGGAACATTTGTCTTATTGTTCTCTTGTTTAGAATTATAACACTAACATGAAAGGGAATCATACCTAATATTTTTCATAAACTTTTCATAGAGAACTATAACTTGCAGTAAAGTCATAACCATTCATTTCTTAATGATGACTTTTGAAGAATAAGTTTCTTCCCATTTCACTCTCATCAATAAACATTTGGGTTCAAAAATATTTTTTAAATCATGTTAAATGAGACATCTAAATACATCAAAAGGTTATTTTACATATAGCACAAACAAGAAGGATGTTGGACTGTAGAAAGCTAGGCCAGCAGAAGGGACTGTATCTGAGTGTTTATAGTATGGAACATGTATGCCTGATATGTCCATTTCAACCATGATTTAATCAAGAAGGAACTGTTACGATGGTTCATGATAAGGTTTTGGTAAGAACAAAGTCTAAAATAATGTCGCAGGGTGCAGGTTATAAGTCTTATGGAGTGTTCGGTTGGAGCAAGATGTACCCACCTTTATGGGTGTCTCTATGGCCCTGAACTGTTTTATGTATATAAAATTAGGTAGATGATCTGCTGATGATTGCTTTAAGGAAGTCTGTTATTCCTGATATGTCAAGTGAGTGGCCTGCCTAGTTGGATTCTTAGGGCTAAGTTGGTTTTCATATTTTGCTTTTATTTTCTATTTTCACCAATAATTACAAAAAATGTCATCCTGTTTTCACTTTAAACCATGTTTTCAAATATTTGCAGAAGAAATAAATTGAATATGAGGTGATATTTTCACAATTATTAGTAAAAACAGAAGACACAATATTATTGTACATTTCCCAATTCTGGGAATTTCTTATCTCCAACCTCAAGGGAGGAAATGGATTATTTGTAAAAAAAATAGTGGGTTATAAATTAATACGGTTTCCAACAGCAAATATGAAATAGAACAAAGAAAAGAGGAAGAGAATAACTGTGATTCTGTATTAATTACAATAAAGAACATACAGAAAGGAGAAAGACTCTTTACTGCCTAGAGCAGTGCTCCTAATAGAGAAACAAATATGTTTCCTCTACCCAAATGCAACAAAAACACAATGATCTCCCCTGATCACTCATGATTCCTATGTAACAGAAATATCTCTTATTTTCTCTCTCTCTCTCTCTCCTCTAACTGCCTTCCTCACATCTCTCATGCCACATCAGCTCCTCCTCTCTTCCTTTGTGAATATACTAACAGCTGCTTGAGATTAGATTTCCCTTCATGGGCCAAAGGTTCAACTGACCCACTTAGGAATGGGGCCTTATCATAAATCAAGAGGGTTAAGGTAATAAATAAATTAGAAGACATATTTGAAAATTAATTCTCTGGATACATTTTTCACTCCAAAAAGTGGATGATAATTTTAGCATCTTGTTGAAGGTTCTCTCCAGGTGGCTGACTTCCGGTGGAGTTTCTCACCTTTCTGTTGCAAGCTTGCAGCACCACAATGTAATTTGAAATTTGCACACTTCTTGTCACTTGCATTTTAAGTATGTTCTCAATCAGAATCTTTCTGCCTTAGTTGAGTTTATATCCTTGTATACAGATAGGAAGGTTTGGATTTTTTTATTCCACTAATTCATTCAAGAGCAACTAAATTTAGAGGTTTTGGCACTATTTAATATAAATAGCCATATTCTTTAATTTCTTTTTGCTGCAAGGAGGGCCAGAGGTGTTGGTAAGATAAGACATGGTTGCTAGATAAGTTTTTAATTAACCTGCTATAGAACACGATTTTTACCCAGCTTCTATGTTGGTCAGCTCGTGAGTTTATTTAAATAACTCCTTCGCTAGATATGAGGGGGAATTTAAGGGCTTTACATGATCTCTTTTATGTGTTGCTTCCTTTCAAGGATATCTAACTCTCCAACCATTGACTCTCTCCATAATAAATTCATTTCTTTTATTATGACAACAAAAACAATAGCTTTATCCCACTAAAACTCGCCTTCTTTTATTACAATAACAAAACTGCCCATTGCCCTAAGATAAAAAAGAGTATGTTTCTGGAAATGATCCAACATTTTAAGCACCTATTGAATAATATTAACACTGCATACAATTGAAGATGATTCTTTTTACGGTATCAACATACTGTCGAATATAACAACACACAGATGAAGGTTAAGAACTGAAATGTCATATTACTGTAAAGAGCTCATTACTCATTATAGAGCACCAAAACAAGAACATACCTTGACGAAACCACTAGTTGATGACCATTGTTCTGATGTCCACGTGTTTGTCTCCCAAAGATAAAATGTTCCATCACTGTAAGAGAACATAAAAACGAAGCTGTGAATCATATGCGATTCATGTTCAACAATAAATTCATACTTAGCATTCTGCATTACAATTTTGAAGAAAAAAAGTAATCTCCAGTGGGTGACCACTTCAGCATTGATATGCCTCCTAATCCCCGTCGAATGGGTGTTCCAACACCTACAGATGATACGGAAAATAACCAAAATTCAGAATGCAGAAACAGAGGTTTGTACTCTATTATTTTATCATGATGGAAATCTAAATATAGACACAGTTCTCACCCTTCCATGCGTTAAACTCAATGCTAACGACTCAGAATCAATACATTTATCAACCTAGCATAACTAGTGAAACTGAACTTTGATCAATTCTTTTTTATAAAAAAGTTAGAGGGAGGTTGCCTCATTCTAATACCAGGCATGCCATAAGCCACAATGAGGGTTTAAATTGGTACTTAAAGTTACACATGACCTATGAATGAATTACAACAACTAGGAATCAAGCCAAAGAACTGACTCAATATAATTCAAGCTTACCATTCAAGCCAATCTCCGATTACAATTTTGATCAATTTATTAAAAATACTCCTTTAAAAGTTCAAAACTTTAATTTTTGCATGCTTAACGTTCAAAGAACAAAATAATGCAATCCAGCTGTCAATGTTTACAAAGAGCTACCATGGTACATGTAAGGATTAAAGACTAGTAGTATATCTAAGAATTTACAAATAACAATATGTTTGAGTAAACACAATTCATCATTTTCTCTTGAGAATGCATATTCATCCATGCATTACTCCATCATGATAAGACACCAACCTATAACACATATAAAATTATTTTTGCCTTTTTGGAATCCCAAACTTGTATCAATTACATCATCTGGTCAAAGTGTCAAAAAAGTAAATTAAAAACTAAGTTTGCTCTAGTAGATGCCAGGTCACAAGTCAAACAAGTAAATTAAAAACTATTAAGTGTGAAAGGATATATTTCTCTGTATTCATTTGCTGAAACAAACTTAGTTAATGGTCCACTAGGTCCTATCTTCAGTAAAGTGATGTTGATATCATTAGTCTAGGTTGTAAACATATGCAGTTTAGGGCATGTTGTATCCCCTAAAAATTGAGGAAGAACAATTGAGGCAGAAAAAGAAGAATTTACAGTGCGTTTTAAGAGTATTCAGCATACTAGTAACATCACCAAACACAAAGGATGTTTCAAAGTACAGTGAAAACAACTTAGGGAGGCAAAGATCTTTATCGTACCTTGAGCAACATCCCACACAGTGAATGAGGAACTTTCATATGAAGCAGAAGCTAAGTATGTGAAAATGGGTTAAGAAAAGAATAGTTAAGTACAAGCAATTTAAAAACAAAAAAAAAAATCCTCTTTCAAATTGCCCAGAAATAAACTACTAAAGTCCTACTGAGTTATACAGTTCTATAGACATCTAAACACTATGAAATTTTACATAAAAAACTAATTAAGCTCATCAAACTCAAAGTTGAAGTAATATTACAGACAATAAATTTGCCTCAGAAAACTTCACCTACTTCAATAAATAGCTACTTAAAAATCCATATTTTTATATTCATAAAAATTTAAAAAAAAAAACTACAAAGTTTAAAGAAAATTAATATCATATCCACATCAACCAACACTAGCCACAAATTCTTGATCTCATAATAGAAAACGGGAAAGGGGGGGGGGTTATACTGTCCCATTCATGACACAAGTAATCAAAAACATCAGAAGTGAAAAACATAATGCAACATTTTTAAATTGCCATCGTTGCCACAATTTTACTGAGTCCACTGAAATTTATGTATTAAACTCACCAAGTTGGTAACCATGGTTAATATTTTGTGTGTCTAGTGCCTACCGTGGAAAAAGAGTTACAATCATACAGTAGCATCCCTTGTAAATGAAAGAATCAGAACGACAATATACATATCAGGGAACCATGTAGCAAAACCCAAAAAAGACATTTTGACATTTTTGAGGATATCTTCCATCTGGACTCCAAGTGAGAGCACTAACATGCTCATCATATTGACTACGAAGAAAATCAACCAGGATATACCGATTCCCTGAGCCTCTAGATAAACTTCCCAAAAAGAATGCAACACCAGATCTAACAGATGCTGCATTTCCAGGATAAGAAGCAGCCCATATGCAAATCCCACTCCTGCAGCAGTAAACCCAATTCCAGTAAACAAAAAAGCACATTGTTAACCAATTGACGCTGCATCCACCATAACAACCATGCACAAAGACAGAACCTCACTTGCAACCGACAGCAAGCATCCTCCCACCATTGGGCCTCCATTCAAGCACTCTAACATCTCTCTGCGACTCGTTGGTCAAAATAATCGGATCTTTCCCCTCTATTTATAATGCCACAAAATCAACATACATTAAACACCACCCTTTATCTTAACACAACAACAATAATAACAATAACTAAAACAAGTTGCCAATAATCACAACAACTTAAGTACCAGCAGAGTCTTGGTAATCACGAACTAAAACTTGGGTGGGGCCAGATATAAAAGCAAATATATGCTTATTAGGATGCCAGCTTACACCTTGAAGATCAACCTCAGGCAACAAATGCACCTACACATTCCATAACAATTAAATAACAACACACGCATTAAAGCACACTATGTATCAAGCACTGAGATCAATTAGGTATAGCATAAGCACACATCGTTAGGGTAAAAGAGTGGTCTGAGACACTGATTTATAAGCCCTTGCACGAGTGCCACGGGGCCTTTCCTCTGAACGGTTTCTCCGGCGGTCGTTGTCGTTGCTTCCGATTCGGAAGCATCGTTCTCGAGAGGCTGAAACGGCACGGGACTGAACACAAATCCCTAATACAAGAAATGCATAAGAAATTGAAATGGGAAGTAGAAAATGGTAAAATTAGGAAAATGTGTTTAATTACAATAATTTTTCCGTAGACTTGGTTGGCTCGATCGTCGGTGAGGGCGTCGACGGTGACTGCAGATTTGGAGAGAGAGAAACAAAGTTAGAGAAACGAAGCTGCACGAAGAGATGGAATAAGAAAGAGAATGACAGTTACTAAGCTCGCGGTTGACTTCGCAGAGAGTGAGTGAACGAGGAGGAGGGAAGGAAGCCATGTTTTCCTGTTTAGAGTTGAGAGTGTAGGGTTTTAGGTTTAGCTATGTTGCCTTCCTTCCGATAAAAGTTTTTATTCTTTTTCCCGCTTTTTCTTCTTCTATTTGCACCAAAACGGATTAACACACTGCATTCAACTCCAATTGATTAATAGAGCACAAAAATATAAGTTCGGAGTGAGTAAACTATAATCCTCTCTAAATGTTTTTTCATAATCTCTTCTTAAAAATTGTCAACCTATAAATGCACAATTAGTTTGTTAACCCGTATAATTTACATGTACTTTATTATTTTTTATATTAAAAGCAATGTTATTATAATATAGGTATTAAACAAAAGTTTATTTCATTTTAATATAAAATAAACTATCACCCCTATTTACAAAATATAAAATAAAATTAATACAAAATAAAAAATCATAAAAACTTAAATAGACATAAAGAAATCTTTCAAACGACCGATGAATAAAAGAAAATAAAAAAGAATTTTAAAAAAATCTTTAAATTTAAACTCAAATTTGAAAAAAAAATGATATTATATATTAAAATTGACCCTTATAACATTTATTTAAAATTTAGTTTTATTAAGGATTATGACATTAGTTATGTGCATTGAAAAGCTTGCAAGTTAATGACAACTTCAGTCATGAGCTTGGAACTCTCATGGATCAATAGTTTAATGTTCTCTGTATTAAAGTGTGTTAAAGTGTCTGTTTCTAGGTATTGGAACACCTAGAGATTTTTTGTCCTTTTAGCATTGTTTTTTTAAAAATTTACCAAATTAGAGCTGCATGGAAACAAATTTTTGGTTTGGAATAGAAAAGTCACTTGGCAAAAGAATCGTCCAGATGCCAGATGCAACCAATTAAACAGAAAAAAAATTGAAATAATTCAAAACGAATCAACGAGTAGGGAAGAAAAAAGACACATGTGCAAATCCTAGAGTGTCTACTAGTTCAAAAGTGCCTTCAGTGTCGGCTAGTTCAAAGGCGCCTTCAGTGTCAGCTAGTTCAGGGACAACACAAATATGATTGGTCCACATTGCATAGGAATTTGACCGTTTAGGGCGCGGCTTCGTCTTCCTTTTTCCCCTCTTTTCTTCTTTTTTGTTACCGTCTCACATTACAGAAGTTTCAGACTGCCGGAAAAAAAAAATAACAAAGTATTATTAGGCACATTTGTTGGTTTCTGGTATTCAAATTTTTGAGGAAATATATAGTTATATCATAGTAATCCATAATATTGTTTATAATTGGTTGTTTAAAAATGTATTAAATAAAAATTATAGTAATCTATAATATGTATTAATTATTAAACAATAAGAAAAATTCTGATTGTAATAAATTGATAAATTAAGAGGAAAGAAAAATATATATAAATATATATAGTTAAAAAAATAAAAAACATGATAATGAAAAAATATATATGGAATGCAATGAAAATATTAAATAATGAATGTAGAAAAAATAATAATTTTTGATATTTTGATGGTAGATTGATATATAAAAAAATTTGTGAAATAAAAAATATTGTTAATAGTAAAAATAACATTTAGTTTTTGAAAAAGACTAAATACAATAATTTTATTAAAATTATTGATATGAATGAAATATACAGTTATATTATAAACATATTTTAAAAAATAAATTCATTAAAAATTAGTAATAAAATATAATAAGTATGTTATTAAATTTATTTTAAACATTACATATTTACTTGAAATTTTATGATTTAAAATTTGAGATAAATTGTATTAGAAATTAAATAATATAATATTAAATATTTATAATTTGTTAGTTAAAGAATGTATTCAATTTAAATTTTAGTAAGTAAAAAATATATTTTAATTATTAAATATTAAGATAAATTATTATAGTAATTAATTGTTAAATTAAGAGGAAAAAAATTTGATATTAAGATATACGCTTCAGAAAAAAGAAATAAAAAAACATAGTAATGAAAAAAAAAAGTATATGAAATGCAATAGAATGACCGAAATAATTGACAAGGAGAAATAATAAACTTTTTATATTTTGATAGTAGATTGAGATAAAATAAAGGATTTGTGACAAGAAAAAATATTAGATGTACTAAAAATAATAATTAGTTTTTAAAAAAACTAAATAGAATATTTTTATTAAATTTATTAAGAAAAAGAACATATACAATTATATTATGAAAAGAAAATAATTATAAACATATGTAAAATATCATATTCATAAAAAAATTAGCAATAAAATATAATAATAATGTCATTAAATTTATTTAAAACATTACACATTTATAAAAAAAATTATGATTTAAGAAACAAAATTATTATTGAATAAGAATAATAAAATTAAGAAAATAATAAATTTATTATTTAATATAAAGAATTACAAAAATAAATTAGGTGTGATAAAATTATGTATTTGTTAATTTTTTGTAAGTGTAAAATTTGATATACAATAGTAAATTTAGTGCATAAAAGTATGCTTTGTTTTAAATTTAGAGTAAATAAAAAGTTATATATAATAGTTAATTGAGTGCACGTAATTACATTTCTTGCTATTTATTATAATTGTAAAATAATATTTAAAAGTTGTTAAATTGTTAAAAAAAATATTTAATATAATAATTAAATGAAATCATTTTTTAAGTTAATTTGAAATTTTGAAATTGTTATAGTTAAATAATTGTAATAAAAATTAGGTAATAATGAAAAATAAATTGATAAACTTAATAGAATTTTTAATATATTAATTTTAATGTACATAATTTCAGTTTAAGTTGACAAATTTTATTTCAGATGGCATCATCTTCATCGCGGAGTAGGGTTTTAAATCCTGGCCCGAAAGATGGTTCATTATTGAGGTATCAGTCTGTTCATATATCGGAGAATATTTAGTATGGACGTGAGCACTCAATTTTGAAGGTGAGAAGGAGTAACTTCATACTGGTTGGGATGGAAACTGTTCCAGTGGAGATATTTCCTCATCTTACCTTAGCTGGATTTGCTGGAGTAGCTCAGTTGGCATGCTTTTCTATTAACCGACATCTTATTATAGCCTTGGTGGAAAGATAGAGGCCAGAGACGCATATCTTCCAAATACCTCGTAGAGAGTGTACTATAACTCTTCAGGACATTGCTATTCAGATAGGACTTTGTATAGATGGAAAAGCAGTTATTACAGCTGTAGGAGGTAATAGGGCACAAATTGTGGAGGACTTACTTGGTATTAGACCATCTGCTAATGCATTTATGGGGAGTAGTTTGAAGTTGAGTTGGTTGGACCAACACTTTACACATATACGAATCATGGCTAAGAACCATTCCCATGCAGATAAGGTTTCTCCTTCCACAATGGCAAACGCAATGGGAAGCACACAGTTGTTTCCATCTTGAGTCATAGCAATTAGCAAAGTTTGTCGGTACTTACTGTACAAAAATGTTTCATCAACCTGTATTATAAGCTTACAAAAGTTGAAAGCTTCATGACATTGCTTGAACGACCAATACAACTGATGAAAAACTCGATATCTATTATCCACGATGTGATCTTCAACATAATCATTTGTTTCAATTTTGTATATAGATCCAATAGCATATAATTGCATGTACTCTAGCCACCTTGGCAATGCAGCATAAGATTCGTCCCAATCACCAAATACATTAACTATCGCTTTTTGTTTTGCTTTCCATGCCTTCTTATACGAAATTGAATATCCAAATTGACCACTAATTCTCTCTTGAATTAACGAAATAGGCACTAATGGTTATTCTTTCACCATACCTGCATGTAAGATAATAATAAGGGAGTTTTTCAATTTGTTGGGATGTAATAGGATGAAAATTAGTATATTTTTTCTATTTCAAAATATTAAAATTTAATATAAGATTTGACATACCAAGAATGCATGAGCAAATAAATTTGAAATCTAACTTTTGGTAGTCTTGAGAGATTGAAGGATGTGCGCGTGTATGGGGACTACCCTACTTTATAATTTTTCACTTGTCTGCATTTTTTGGCAACGATGCTTGAACTCTCAAGGGACATCCACTGTTGTGATTGACACACTTCACAACATATGTTGTTGATTTTGACTCCACCAAAAAAAAGTTTGATGTTTCTGTTAGATTTTTCTTATTCTGTTATGTAATTTCCATTTGATGTAATTCTATTATGAAATTACCATTTTCTATACAATCTTGAATTACGTTGTTCTCACAATACAATACATGGTTCTCACACAGTTAAGGGTTTAGAGAACACTAACCTGAATCCATTATTCCTTTGTATTTTTCTCAACTTTTCCTTTCTCTTTTAGCTCCTCTCAGATGGTTGAGAGAAAGTTTCTTTTTTACAATTACATGAGCACACTTAGAGACTGTGAAAGTGATAGAGAGTAGAGAATGTCGTAACCTCTATTTGGTAACCACTCTTTTATTTATCTGAAGGGAGAGGGGAGGGTTTCCTTATGATTGTATTTATAATTATTCTCTTAATGACTCTATATTTTATATTTAATCACTATCACATTAAATCATTAATTAGAATCATGTTGTAAGTTACATAGGCCATTTTAATAAGATTATTAAAATAATCTAATAGTTTCCTCATGGCATAATATTTTGATAGCCATTTTTACATCTTTTTTAGTGTCAAATAGTTATCCAACATATTATGCATCCTTCCTTCCATGATTACGCGTCATTCATACCAAGAAAATCTAATTCTTGATCAGGGTGTTCCCAATTAATATAACTGTAATGTAGGATTATATTCTAAAAGGGCAATGCAGTTTTTGTATTACAATAATTCATTCGTCAAATTTATACTCTCATTAACAATTTATATATTACTACAGATGTAAGTTATGAAAATCTATCTTTTAAATCACTATCTAAAATCATACCTCCATGTTGTTGTTGCGTTGAACTAACTTTTACAATACCCTCCATATTGATCATTGAATCACATTCATCATCTATCTCAGTATCAAAAAAATTATTTAATGAAATATCTTCTTCATCTTCATATTCATCATCTTCATTTGTAGATCGTACATTATAAACTTATATTATTAATAGTATTTGCAGCATCAATTTTAAAAATTTAAAATTATCAACTTCATATTACCTTTTCTTCTTGCATAATCATCATTACTTCCATGATTGAGTGAGCGTGATAAATTCACTTCTAACGGACGTGCCACAACAGAAGATATTTCACCAACCACAACATCCACATATAACTCAACTACATTCCTATGATGTGGTTGTTGACATGCACTTATTATACAATCTATGTCTTCATCATCACATACATTCAGAGTTGTATGGTATTGACCATTTGTCCCAACTAAAATTTGTGAAATTAATCTAGAAATTACGTGACAACTAGACAATTTTAATTTTGTGTGAATCTTCCTTTTAAACATCTCAAATGTGATTCCACGTTCTATCTTAATCATCTTTTTCTCCCCTTAAAAAATTATACCCTCATTTCCTTCATATATTCTACCATTTGAATATAATATAACAACAATTTCATTCATCCTGCATTAAAAATAAGTCAAACTTATTTAAAAATTAATATAATAAAATTATATTTAAAAATTCATTTGTAATTACAAATATTTAAATATTTATTTTTTAACATTATATTTTATCTGTCTTATTTTCAAACATAACAAAAAAAATTAAATTACAACATTAGCACTTAAAATATTATCCAAATATAAAATAAATATTATTATTCAAAATATAAATTCTTAATACCCAATAAAAAATTTATATATTTATAATGCTTAAAATCTAACCTTATTGCTCTGGTTACTATTTCTTCTCCAACTCCACACTGCTATTCAATCCCCAGCTCCACAGTTATTGTGTGAAGGTTTCGTATTTATACATATATAAATTTGGACAAAAGAATGTATAAAATTTTTTATCCATCGATCACATTAAAATCGGGTTTAATTGGATGACACTAGAGTTGTCTCTGTTGTGGACGCTACTAAAATCGTCTTAAAATGGACGACATAAGTTCCTAGAACGACACGTATCGACATTTTATGAGTGTCGACTACTAATAAGACGACACTCTCATAGTTGGCCACGTCATCACGTGTGTTGTCCCTGTTCTGAACGATTTTGCTGCCACATCACCCGTCCACCCAAGAATTTGTTTGCATGCAAACCTATTTTGATAATTTGTTTTAAGAATAACCCCAAAAGGGCAAAAAAATCCGATTTTTTGCACTATACTGGTATTAATCATAGATTTTGTGGTTGGATGTCCCCTAACTTTAGTCTTTGTATTATTTGAACTCTTATTAGCTTGGATATTTAATTAATTGAGCTTACAATTAATAAAATAACAATAATTTATCATAATTCTCATGTAACTGAAGTTAAAAACTGTAAATATTCAGCAACTCAAATAAAAATTAAAAAAATTAATTAATTTTTAAATTAATTAAGAATTAATTCATGTTACAAATAAATAGTTCTAAAAAAAATATTAAATATATGTTAAAATATAGCTTAACTGTGACTTTATCACTGATAATAATCTTTGAAACCTTTTTAGTTTCAAAATAGATGGTTAAAAAATTGCTTATTTATTTTTTTAGATGATATCATTATAATATCAAAGGATTGTAATAATCAAGTCCACCTCATTAATGACATTTTAAGTAGTTTTAGTAGGATGTCTAATTAAATAATTAACTATGAAAAATATAAATTTTTCTATTCTGAAGACTGTATACTAAAACTATAAGTGTCAAATTTGTGCCACTTAACTATGTCGAACCTAAATGATTTAAGAACTTGTTTTTGAATTACAATAATGATTTTTAGATTTAGAGTAGACTTTGACTAATGAGAATAAGTATATAAGAGATTTAACAAATGATAATCTCTATTTTACATGTAATAATGCCCTGTAATCAATCATGCATGCCATCAGAAGTTGTGACTAGTTAGTTGTGTTTGGAATTCTTGTATTAATTCTAATAATTATTTTTTGAAGTATTAGTTTGTCTTACTCACTTACTGGTAAGGATCAACGATCAACGGGGATGGTAATAATTAATGTATCATTTTCTCTTGCAGGTTGTTATGATAAGATAGATGTAATATAATATTTAAGGATACACCTAACATTAAGATTAAACCTCTATAGTTTCATTAATCTTATAAAAAAATTTCATTATGATGAAAGTTCTTATTCTTCACGTGCAAGTCTTCATTGGTTGGACTTTTCCTCTGGATAGACTCATAAAATTAACATTGACGGCCATAGGAAGCAAAGTTTTGACATGTTACCTTGATATTGCTATAAATAACTTGAGAATTTTGGTGGCTGCCTTTATAGAAAATATGAAGTTATTGCTAAGATGTAGGAAGTTTGGTATAGCTTACAAATAGTTAGACAAATCAATTGGAAATTTTTCCATCATCAAGTATATTTGATTCTAGGTTTGTTTTTTATTTAATCCAATAAAGTAGAGTCTCATTATTCATCTATGATTAAGGTTGTCAAAGCAAAAAAAAACTACTTAGAGGCATAAAAAACTCTAACATACCTATAAGAAAATGCAATGTTTTAACTTATCATCTTTTTCAATTGAGCCATAATATTAGATTTGAAATTGGTTGTACATAATTCCCCTCTGTCTTTTTTTTTTTTTCCTTTTGTTAAAAGAGTTTTTCATGGTGCATTTTTTTTATTAGTTAAAATGTATCAACTTTATTTCTTTTTAGGACAAAAGATTTTACTTTTTGTTATGAATAAACACTCACTTATATTTATATTATGATTCTTTATTTTAAGAGCTATGGTAAAATTAAATAATACTCACAAGTATCATAAATGAAATTATGATCACTAAAGTCAAATATTAAATATAATTTTATTTTGATTAAACTAAACATTTAGTTATATAGATGACTCACATTTATATAATAATCACTGTAATTAAAAAAAGTTAAATTTTAGTCTATATACAAAAATTTTGTTATATTTTGATTCATGACAATAATAATAAAAGAGATTATATCATAACAAAATATTTATATAGAAAATAAAATATTAGTTGTCTTAAATATAAGGACTAAAATTTTTTTTTTAAATATAAAGATTAATTTGTAAACATGTTAAATTTATGAAAATATGTGTTTTAACGAATTATAATTTTAAAGAAGTTGTATAATTTGAATTTAAATATCTTAATTAAGTTTTTGTGTAATTTTTGTAAGGACTGAATACTTAATTAAGTCTATATTTTTTTTATATAATATATCAATTTTTATAAATATATTTAAAAAACACTTTTTTTCATATAAAAAATGAAATATTTATTGTATTTGATATGTAAAATTATATTATTGTTCAAAATTTTAGAGGATCAACTTTATAACATAAATAAATTTATAAATTTTTTATCATAATATAAATAAACAATTCTTATTATATCAACTCAAAATCTCATTAGTTGGTCTTTTTATTATTTTCTCTTAGATAAAAAATATTTAGACATATTTAGACATATCTAGATATTTTTTGAACTGTGATAAAAATATTCATCACATGTGAATTATTCTTAACAATTTATTAATTATAATTAATTTTTTATTGATTTATATATTTACCAAATCAATGATATTAAATCATAAATGACATTTGACTTAATATATGAGTGTTTAGTATTTCTAAAAAGTATTTAGTATAATACTTGTAAACTTCAAATAATATTTTATACTCTTTTAAAATTAATGGATATATTTTTTCTAATATCTTAAAAATTATAAAATATTTATGTTTATTTTAAATAGACTATCGAACCTCATAAAATCTATTATAAATATTTAATATATAATCAGTAGTAGTAATAATTATTTTACGCCAGAATACATAAAATGTCTTATCATAATAACGCCGAGAGAATACATAATATAGAAACTAGTTGCTCAACAAAATAACTAGTTAAATTAGTAATAAATAAATAAATAAATTTTCATATCTAAAAGTTTAAAAAATAAATTTTCAATAAAAATACAATATTTTAAGAATTATTTTAATGAATTTAAAAGGTATCATTTTAAAAAATCGTTAAATCTAAACACACGCAAGAAACAATTTACTACGTATAGTGGAACATTTAATTATATTTATTTTAAACTTTTAATAACAAATATAAAATATTTAAATGATCACGGTATAATTGTGTGATTAATCTGCTATAGAGACCTAAATTTAAGTTTTTTGTTTAAATTTTATTAAAAGGTTTATCAACATTTTTATTTTATTTCATATTTAATAATTAATAAGTACATATTTTTTATAAGAATTTATTTAATTTCATTATTTATTTAAAAATATATTTTTCAAGTGTATTTATAAACTAAATATAGTTCTTTTGATAAATATTAAATTTTTTTCCCGTGGAATGAAAGGGGTTCTATGCCGGCACTGAGTTACTGGATTGAGTGCAGCGTTTCGTTTACATTGCATATCCACTCACAGCTGAGGATAGAAAATATAAACCCAAAACTCTTGGGATTTCGCCCCTTTTAACATTGCTGTTTTCTGTGCTTGTCCTCCGACTAGTACAAATCGAAATCGAACCATAGCACAGTGCTCGCTTCTTCCTCCTGCTTTGTCTTCTCGACCTCCTACTTTCGTTTTCTGGTGGGAATCACCATTTCCGGCGAGGTTCCGGTCATCTTCCTCATCTCCGGCGAAACTCAAGCAATTTCCGATGTGACCCAGACTTCGTCCGGCGAGACCATCTGCGTTAGAGCATTTTTTTTCCGGTGAATGACTGCTCTATTTTCTAAATAAATAAATAAATAATATTGCAAATATCTATTCATTCCCCCTAATGAGTATCATTAGAAAAGTTCTATGAAGAATTGAGAATGCATTTCTGAGATTCGTGGTGTCTAGTTTAGGAGATATATTTTACATATATTAGCATGGTCACTAGAGTTTGGATCAAGACTCAATAATTGTCAATCTCACTCCTTTGTCTTTCCTGACATTTGCTCTCAATCTATAGGTATTCGTATCTGAATAAATTGGTTACACTTCGGGGAGCATAAGGTGCAGCTTTTCTGCTTGTACTTGATGAGTTGGGATATTTTCATTGGTCCCCAAATCCACTGACTATTGCCAATTTGTATAAATTATTAACAAATTACCAATTTGGAATGAACCTGTTGTCAAGCTTCAGACACAGGGTCTTCCCACCAACTGTCTCACCCTTTGTCCTCTTCACCCAAAGGAGATGGAAGAAACCTACGGTCTCAGCGCAGACCCGTTTGGAGGACAGGGTAAGGGACCCCTACCTTGACAAGTTCATGACCCACCTTAAAAAACTCAAACTTGTTCTCGAAATCCACCACCTCATGTCAAAACGCAAGCGTGGTGCTTTTGTGTCCCTTCAGCTCATGTCCCGTTGGAGAAACATTTTAGGACTCAATGTACCTATTGGTTCCTTTGTCCACAAATACCCTCACGTTTTTGAGGTGTTTGCGCACCCTCTCAGGAGGAACACGTGTTGTAGGATTACAAGGAAGGTGAAAGAGTTGATCTTGCTGGAAGGGGTTGCTGTGAAGCAGCAGGAGCTGGAGGCTGTGAAGAGCGTCAAGAAGTTGCTAATGATGTCTGTGAATGGCACCCTTCATGTACATGCTTTGAGGTTGATCAGAAGGGAACTGGGTCTTCCTGAGGATTTCAGAGACTCCATTCTTGGCAAGTATAGTGGGGAATTCAGATTGATTGATTTGGAGGTTGTGGCACTGGTGGGTATAGATGATGACTTGGGAGTGGCTCAGGTTGAGAAATGGAGGGAGAAAGAGTATACAGAGAAGTGGTTGAGTGAGTTTGAGACCAAGTTTGCGTTTCCCATCAATTTCCCAACAGGGTTTAAGATTGAGAGAGGCTTCAGAGACAAGTTGAAGAATTGGCAAAGGCTTCCCTATACAAAGCCTTATGAGAGGAAAGAGGTCATTCAGGTTCGAACGTGTGGCGGGATTGAGCGCTATGAGAAGAGGGCTGTTGCTGTTCTTCATGAGCTGTTGAGCCTGACTATGGAGAAAATGGTTGAGGTTGATCACCTGGCTCATTTTCGGAGGGACTTTGCGATTGAAGTTAATGTACGTGAACTATTGTTAAGGCACCCTGGAATATTCTACATATCTACTAAAGGGAAAACTCTAACTGTTTTTCTTAGGGAAGCATATAGGAAAGGGAGTTTGGTTGAGCCTAATCCTGTGTATACAGCTCGAAGGAATATGTCAGACCTAGTATTGTTAGGACGTAGGAAAACGAAACAGTTGTTAGCTTGTGATAAAGTTAAGGAAGAGAAAAATATTGTAGTCCATGAAATATATGAGGAAGGTAAACGACAAGGAGATTGGGTGATTCCTTTCCTGGAGAATTGTGAGGAGAATAGATCCCCATGATATTGTGAGGATGGCAGAGAGCATATTTGAAGAAATTATGAACACAGTTTTGGGCTTATTGAGTTGATTGGCTTCTACTTTTAGTCTCCTGTGCAATGTTTCATTTGTATTCTATTGATATCACTTGTCATGTGGTGGCTAGATGAGACAGACTTCACTGGTGGACAAATCATGATTAAAATTTCAAATTGTGGATGATCTAGTGCAAGAGCACTAGAGCCTTATATCTTTAGGGAGGTTCTTGCAGAAGAGGATTACAACATCTGGAAGAACAAGTGTGAATGACAATCTTCTCAAGAAGTGAGGGAGTGACTTCAGACTTTTTACCACTTCATTGTAGAATAGGGTATGCATAATGCATCCTCAATTGCAATATCTTTACCCATTGATTTGTTTTTGGTTGCAATTTCTAATAACTCAAACTTGTTTAACCAAACGATATAATGATGTATAGTTTTGTCTTTGTTTGTTGTTTGTATTAATAGGCGAATTACAGCATTACACTATCATTGAGGAATAATGTAGCCTTATGTTTTTCTCTTCCTGATTTATCTATTGGACTAGATTTTGATCAGTTCTTTGAACATTTTATTAAGCTCATGGTTAGAGTTTGAGTCACCAACGAAATTGTTATCATTTGGCCATTCTCCCCACTTGTTCATTAAATTTGTTGCATTTCTATTCCTAATTTCTTGCTAACCATAATTATTCCATCCTTTTTTAATTCAAATGACTGACTGAAAGTGGATGCTAAATGGATGAAAAACCTATATTTCCTTCTTGTTTGCATTTTGGCCGAAGACTAATTCATTCTAAAGCTGATAAATATTAAAGTACTTTAACAGTGTAGACATTAAGAGATGTTATATGTTGAAAGACTTTTAACATTATAGGCATCAATATTAGACTGTTCTGGGCCATTCTTAAGTGACTTTGTTGCTTCAAGTAAACTTATGCATGAGTGAAATCACTTTTTACACATTACAGTACTTATGATTTTAAAGTATTTCAACAATAATGTTGATGTCAATTGTACTTCCTACAGTATAAATATTTAATTCTTAATTATGTCTCCAACTGCAAACTTTCAACTACAACGGCCTTTTGTTCCCTAATGTTGAACATTGCTTCAAATATTATGCAGATGAAAATTTAAGGGCAAATTTAACATGTCAGTATGGAATTTCAGAATTTTCATGGTGTCATCTGTGAGTTGGTTAGGTCAGTGCTCTGAGCCTTTTTTGTTTTGAGGTATTTTGAACTCAGGTTTATTGTTAAGTGGTCTTATGGTTATGTTATCATGTTAACTTATCTGTTTGTTGAGGCATTTGCTCTAGTGGCTTTGCCTAAAGCATGGGTATGAAATTCTCCTTGTTTAGACCTATACTAAATTTTGTTTTTTAAATGGTGCATTTACTGGTAACATATTGTATATCCTCAAGGTTATTTTTAAGAACTATTTGGGCGTCACAGACTTATTTAAATTGTATAATGGATGGGAGGAACTGAGGAAGCATTAATTAATCTCAATACCTGTTATTAAGGAGTCAAGTTTTGTATTTTATTAGTGAATTATTAAGTGCTATGTCTTAGCCAGATACTGCTTCACTGTAAACTTTTTAAAACATTTTTATACACGAACAATTATTGTTGGTTTTTATATAAAGAATGTTGAAATTAGTGAATTCTTGATCTCTGAATTCTGAATAAGTTGACTAACCCATAAGTGAAGTTGATAGAAACTGTAGGCTACATAACCTAAAATGCTTGATAGGGTGTCAATGTCCAAACAGCTTAGGTTTGTTTAAGCATTTTCAGGGAGTGAAGATAATCAAGAATGGATAATTTGGATTTTTTAAAACATTCCGGATATGATGTTGATATGTTGATTTAGACTTGTGACTGGATCCTATATGTAAGCACACATGAAAGATCTGAATCAGCTGATAATCTGACTATGCTCCCCTCTCCTTTCTTCTGCATGCTGTGTTTGGCTGTTAAAATCTCCTATGAAACTTTAGCAGTTCGATGTCCTTCTGTGCTTGTGAAGTCTTTAGATATTCCATTAAACTCTGAATTAAATAGTTGGCTGGCTGTACAGTGGTTTTTGACATAAGAATGATGATTTTTTGGTCTGGCAAGAGATCATCCAACCAGAATATTGAGTTGATGAATGGTCTGAATTTCATTATGTCAGTTGAACTGGGAAGTAAATTTTAAGTAGTTAATTGCTGTTGTATATGGATTTACTTTGGAAAAGAGAGTATTTTCTGATTGATTTTGTCATCTTTCAGTTGGACTCTTTAAAAGGTGGCAAGTGGAGCAATGGGAGTTGAGAGGACCAAGGAAGAAGCATTAGAGCGGCAAAGAATGTTTGCAAAGACGTGGGCTAGAATGAATGGTGGGGCCATTGCTCCCAAGCAGCCAGATGCTGACCAAAGTATAGCTCACCTTAGGACCTTTATCTGCTGCTTGTGCTTCTAGTTAGCTTGATACTGTACAATAAAGTGATTCCATTTTACCATGCTGGGAGCTATGTTTCACTATGTATGATAGTTAATAGGATAGAAACAGTGAGAAATGGTGCAATGCAGGGGCTATTGACTAGAGAATAATGGAATTTTCAGAGTGAGAGTCTTTGTTACTTTCCTTATGATTATTATGGTTATGTTTTTGTTACTATCCTTGGGCTTGATCATAATCTTGTGTCTACGAAAGGAATTTCAGAGTCCCATGAAGTGGTCACAGTTTAGGAATTTTATGTGAGAAGAGGAAGTGAAACTTTTCGGGGGCAAGAAACAATGTTGAAGAGAACATGGTTTGCATGAAGAGAAAATACTCGTGTTTTACTTATTTCATTTATCAGTATTGAATAAGGACTATATGTTGTGTTATCAACAAACATTGGTTTTATACATGAGGAATGTGCAAACCAGAACGGGTCTCATTTTTTAATTTAACATGATAGATCCCGTGATTACATTTTAATCATCAAATTTAATGAAAGCATATCAACGGTTGAAAATAAAAGGGAATAATATTTTTTTAACTCTAACATGTGTTTAAAAATATACAATAAGGAATGTCTATGGCAAATTTATATTGAAAATAATAAAATATTATGAAATTTAATATATTAATATTGGATTTTGTTTTTTAATGATTTTTTTAAAAATTTTAACGTGTGTTTATAGACCCAATAAAAAAATCATATTTTTAATCTTTATTTGTGTTTTATAAATTTTTCTTCTCCTTGTTTCATTCCTATCTTCACTACACTACCATCCTTCATTTAGTCCATGTCTTATGATTAGTTTACAGCTTTTGTTAACCTCAACTCTTAGAACTGATGATAAGTAATTAATAATAATAAAATTTTATTAGAAAGAGAAGTATTTATTATATTTTTATAACTTTAATATAATAACATATACTTTTTTCATAATTTTTTTTAATTGTGGATGTTTAAACTCAGCTCTTAAGGCTAAATTGACAAAACTCTTAATTTATTTGTCACAAATAGATAAGCTTATTTATTAAAAAATGTGTTATAAAATGTGGCTTAATATTTTTTTTATATTATAGTTCTTTATTTTAGGCAACATAGTAGGAATAAGTAATACTTGCCAACACTACAAACTAAATAATCATTAAATTAATTACCTAAATAGAAAGGCTTAATAGGTCTATTAGCCCAAAATATTGCCTATAAAAGGAAAGTAAGAAGTACAAGTAAAGAGTTGACTTTCGAATATTCAATAATATTTATTGCCTAAACCAACACTTGAATTTATCATTGGATTGCCTTTTGTAGGTACACCTCCCACGTCATACAGAGGAGAACCAGAGATACTTGGAAGGACGTCATCTTACTTCACAGAATAGGAGTCTCTAGAAGATCAGTGTATCCCAAGTAAGAATATTTTGACACCCACCATAGGGTTCGATTTGCCTTAAATTTAGATCAATCATGGTACTAATAAGGAGTCAGCATGAAGGACAAAGCCAACAATGGGGAGCCTCTCATCAGCAGGAGGATACTACACCTAACCCACTGGTACCTGAAGTTTTGGCTGAAGGGGGAGGAGATGAAAACCTCTTTTCGGTAGTAAGACAGCTGAGGGCTGAAATGATGGAGATACAAAGGTTAACAGAAAAAGACGTTCTTGAGTTGTCGGCTTTAAGGAAAGAATCGGTCAAAGCCCTTTTACTCGGCCTATCTTGGAAGCCCAATTACCAGAAAACTAGAGGGGTATAACATTGGAAAAGTATGAAGGAACGTCCGACCCTAAAGAGCATTTAGATATATTTTCAACCTAGGTCGGCCTATGTACAGACAACGATGCTTTATTATGCGGATATTCCCCACATCACTCTGTGAACCATCTCTCAATTAGTTCACCAGGTTACCCCCTCATCAATTGATTCATTTGAGTCACTCCGCACACGCTTCAATTTGTAGTTTGCCACAAGCCGTCCTCATCTATTGATATTATTGGCATTAGTTAATATCCGTCAAGAGAAAAAAGAGATACTTAGAGCATTCATGGAACGTTTCGGCAAAGTGACCCTCTTAATCCACAACCTAGAGCCGGCAGTTGCAATGCATCACCTTACCACAGATTTGAAACTAGGACCTTTCGTCAACAGTATATGCAAAACACCACCCGCTGATTTAGATGAATTGAGAAGTCGTGCAGCCAAGTACATGCAGATGGAAGAATTGGCCGAATATCGAGGTCAAGTAAGAATGGAACTAGGGTTAAACCCAAGAGAAGGTAACATGACATTCAAAAATTGGCAGAAAAACAAAGACCAAAGAGGTGAAGTTAAGCGGCCACCAAGAGGACCCAAATACACCACTTACACAACTCTCAACACCAATCAGTCAAGGATACTCGAACAAGCACTGACAACTGAGATATTAACCATTCCTAGGCGTGCTAATACCTCTCCTCGGGCAGACTAGTCAAAATCATGTTGATATTACAGAAACAAGGGACATACCACTGAAGAATGTACAACCTTTAAAGATAGCATCGAAGACTTGATTAAAGTTGAGCACCTGCAAAGATTTGTACAAACACACAACGAGAGAGGTAGGGATTACCAGTTCGATCTCTCAAGAAGATATGATGAAAGAACAAAAAGGCAGTGCAGTAGATCGAAAGAACCACCTGTTAGGAATTAGGACGAACGTGAGAAGTACCCTCGCCGAATTATTAACACCATAGCAGGAGGATTTGTTGGAGAGGGATCTACCAACTTGGCTAGGAAAAGGCATTTGAGGCATGTCCAGTCAGTAAATCATATATCATTAGGAAGTGGAATCCGGATCCCCTTATCATATTTACAAACAGAGATTTTCAAGGGTGGACCCTGTCCAGGACGACTCCATGGTCATAAGCGTCAATATTCTTAATTGTACAGTTTGAAAGACCCTAATCGATCAAGGGAGTTTGGCTGACATCCTTTACTAGAACACTTTCAAACAACTAGGGAGACCAAAAGAGGAGTTGAAGGAGTATAATGAACCACTTGTCAGCTTTTCAAGAGAGCGAGTGGAAACTCGAGGCAATATTAATTTATACACCCTGTTCGGATCAAAACATGAAGGAAAATGTATCAAGGTAACTTACCTAGTGGTACATGCAAGCACCTTATACAATATATTGCTCGGTCGACCATCCCTCAATAAGTTGAAAGCCATAGTGTCTACTCCTCACTTGGCTATGAAATTCTCCTCGGATAGAGGTCGAGTTGTCGCTGTCCATGCAGACCAAAAGATGGCCAAAGAATGTTATTTTGCAAGCTTCCACCTAAAATCCCTCCCCAGGCATAGACGAGATGTCAACATCGTATCCTCTCGATCAGAAGTAGAACTGGATGTAGAACTAGACCCAAGAATAGATGAAGGGCTTCAGGTTGAACCCAATGAAGACAAAAGATCTTTTCAACTAGGGAAAAAAATATGAACAAGTCACATATCTCGGAACTAGCTTATCCTCGGACCATCAGTAGGTCCTCTAAGAAGTGCTATTAAGCAATGCCGACTTGTTTGCATGGTCAGCCTTGGATATACTGGGAATAGACCCTGATTTCCTATATCATCATTTATCAGTTTATAAGGGGGCCAAACTGGTAGCCAAGAAAAAGAGAAAGATAGGTAGTGATAGAGCACGAACAGTCTGAGAAGAGACTAGCAAGCTATTACAGGCCAACTTTATCTGAGAGGTGCGATATTCCACCTGACTGGCCAACGTGGTAATGGTGAAAAAGGCAAATGGAAAGTGGAGAATGTGCACCGATTTTACTGATCTAAATATAGCATGTTCCAAGAATGCTTATCCCCTCCCTAATATTGACACCCTGGTTAATGGGGCAGCTGGTCATAAAGTGCTCAATTTCTTGGATGCATACTCGAGATATAATCACACTAGACGAGGAAAAGACAGTATTGATAATGGATTCAACTATTTTTTGTTATAAAGTCATGTCCTTCGGCCTTTAAAAATGCAGAGGCGACATATCAAAAGCTGATGGATAAGATCTTTGCAAAACAAATAGGGAGATGTATGGAAGTATATGTTGATGATATGGTAGTTAAATCCATCTCTCTCAATGGTCATGTTGCCCATTTAAACGAAGTATTCGGTGAAGCAAGACGGTATGGGATGCGCTTTAACCCAAAGAAATGTACATTAAGGGTAGCCAGAGGAAATTTTTTAAGGTTTATGCTTATAGAGAGAGGGATTCAGATGAAACTAGATAAGTGTCAAGCTATTATTGAGATGACAAACCCTCATAATACAAAAGAAGTACAATGACTGACTGACCGAATAGCTGCACTTGCCAGAGTTTTGCCTACAATGGCATTAATCTTCTAAAAAAATCACAAAAATTCACCTGGACCGAAGAGTGTGAAGCAGCCTTTGTTCAATACAAAAACACGTTGGCGGCCCTTCCTATTCTAACAAAGCCAAGACTAGGACAGGATATAATTATTTATTTAGCTTAATCTGACAAAGCCATTAGTTCGGTTTTATTGCATGAAATACCTGAGCAGACACCATTATATTTCATTAGTCAAACACTTCAGGATGCCGAAACCCGATACTAGTTAATAGAGAAAGCATTATTGACATTAGTTCACACAGCTCGGTTGTTGAGGCATTATTCTCAAAGTCATCGGATAGTAATACATATCGATTGCCCAGTTGCCAAAATTTTATGAAAACTAGAGTTAGCAAGTCGGTTAATGACATGGGCAGTTGAACTATCCCAATTTGATATCTGATTTGAGACCCCGAGGACAACTTAAAGCTCAAGTTCTTGCCAATTTTGTTAATGAATTCACTACCCAGAAACAAACCAATACCAATATGTAGAAGCTGCATATGGATGGGTCATCAAATCTTCAAGGCTGTGGAGCAGGAGTTATTTTGGAAGGGCCAAACACGGTAGTACTTGAACAATCTATTTGGTTCAAATTTAGGGCATCTAATAATCAATATGAATATGAGGCACTGCTAGCTGGTCTCAAACTCACAAAAGAAATTGGAGTCAGATGCATCACATGTTGGAGTGACTCAAAAGTTATGGCTGAACAAATTAAAGGTACCTACCAAATAAAAGGCTCGGTCATGTTGCAATACTATTAGGAATTTAAATGGATAGAGAGCAAGTTTGATGAAGTATATATTCAACATACACCGAGAACCCTCAATGAGCAAGCTGATAGACTCGCTAAGTTGGCTAGGCAAAGGAAATATGTGCAGCTTCAGAGTATAATTCAACAAGAATTTAATAAGCCTAGCATTCTCGGGCATGAATACATGGAAATTAAAGACACATCTCAGAACTGGATGACAAAGATCATTCAATATCTCAGTATAAGTAAAATACCTGAAGATTCAGAGCAAGCAAGACAACTCAGAAGATGAGCAGCAGAGTTTACCCTTGTCGACCAAGAGCTGTATAAACGAGAAATCTTTACTCCTCTGCTGAAATATCTTAATGAAGAATAAGCAAACTATGTGATAAGAGAGATTCATGAAGGAGTTTGTGGTACCCATTCAGGGGGACAAACGATGGTAGCAAAGATACTGAGAGACAAATACTTTTGATCGACCTTATCCAAAGATTATGAGCTTTCTGTTAAAAAATGCATCCCATGTCAGCAACATGGTCCACATATACATCAACAAGCTGATAACCTTCATCCGATCACTTCACCTTGGCCCTTTGTAATATGGGGAATGGAATTGCTAGGACAATTTCCTTTAGCTAAAGGACAGTGTAAATTCCTGATAGTTGCTGTTGATTATTTTACCAAATAGATTGAAACTGAACCACTTGCCACCATCACAACAAATAAAGTCCAGAAATTCACCTGAAGGAACATTATCACACGATTCAGCATTCCACATGCTTTGATAACTGATAACGGTCTACAGTTCACAGATCGACATTTTAAAGAATTTCTATATAGGTTGCGCATAAAGCACCAAGTCACCTTAGTCGACCATCCTCAAACTAACGGTCAAGCTGAGGCCGCCAATAAAGTTATTCTTTATGAGCTTAAAAGGCGATTGAGGTCGACAAAAGGTGAATGGGTTGAGAAGTTGCTGGAAATTCTCTGGGCATATCGGTGCACTTCCCAAACTATAACAAAAGAAACTCCATTTCGGTTAACATATGGAACGGAGGCCATGATTCCAGTTGAAATTGGGGCAGTAACAACACTTCGAAGAAGAAGCAAATTCTCTCTCCTTAACAACTAACTTGAATTTAGTAGATGAAATTAGGGACCAGGCCACCATCATGATGGAAGCAAGTAAAAGGGTAATGACACGTAAGTTTAACTCAAAACTAATACTGAGATAATTTCAAATCGATGACTTAGTATGGAGAGCCATTGAAGAAGGATGCTGAGACCGACGAGAAGTAAAACTCGCTGCCAACTAGGATGAACCCTTTCGGGTAACAACTCGCTTAGAAAATGGATCTTACAGGCTAGAAACACTTGAGGGGAAGCCCATACCAAGAACTTGGAATGTGTCACATTTAAAGCATTATTTTAGTTAGTATAATGTGTAAATTTTGTGCACTTTTTCTTGTTCAGGTTTTATCCTCTTAAAAGAACTTGAAAAGAGGTTTTCTAATGAGACACTTATCAATAAAACTCACTTCAACCCTTATATTTGTCTACTTATAATATCCCTCCCGAGTATCCCACTCGGTTAAGGTTGAAAAGCTTCCCCTCCCGAGTACCCCTACTCAGTTAAGGATGAAAAGCATTCCCTCCCGAGTATCCCTAATTGGTTAAGGTTGAAAAGCATCCCCTCCCGAGTACCTTTACTCAGTTAAGGATGAAAAGCATTCCCTCCCGAGTATTCCTACTCAGTTAAGGTTGAAAAGCATCCCCTTCCGAGTACGCCTTCTTGGTTAAGGATTGAAAACATTCCTTCCCTGAGTACCTTTACTCAGTTAATGATGAAAAGCATTCTCTTCTGAGTATCCCTACTAGGTTAAGGTTGAAAAGCATTCCTTCCCGAGTATCCTTACTCGTTTAAGGATGAAAAGAATCACCTCCCGAGTATCCCTACTCGGTTAAGGGTGACAAACACTTCCTCCTGAGTACCCCTACTCGGTTAAGATTGAAATGCATTTCCTCTCGAATATCCCTACTTAGCTAAGAATAAATCAAACTAAGTTAAAAATGAATTCATTCTCAAATTACATATTCGGTTAAGGACGAGCTAAATTCTCTCCTGAATACTTTACTCGGTAACGGTCGAATTACTACTCGCATATTACTTAACTACGACGATCACACCTATTACAATTTACTCTGCAATTATGAGTCTAAGTAAATGAATGAGCAACAATATAAAGACGAATATGATTAAAAGAAACTGAACTTATATTAATAGAGGCACAAAATGGCCAACAAAGTATTACAAAAATATAAGGCGTTACTGGCCTTTAATTACAAAAGGAAAATAAAAATCACTTTCATTAATCCTCTCCGGCTGCATCTTGAGTGGGAGCATCATTGGTAGCCTCATCCACTCTTCTCCGGTCGCTTTCCCTAGCCGGCTGTGTTTGATAAAGGGCAAAGGCGTCAGCTTCAACATCGTTGGCCACCTCGTCGTAACGAAGAAAATTTGCCTGAAAGAAATCCTTTTTCGAGTCGAATTGAAAAGCAGGAGGCAATTGACAAACTTGTACCACCTGTCGGACAACATGTTGAAAGCCGACCTCATGCTCAGCAATAATGTTGCGGTGACATTCAGCTACAAAAGCCTTCATGTTCGCATCAGTCTTTTCTTTGTTACACCTTTCCTTTGCCAAGGTTTCGGCCAACTCCAAGCCTTTGGCCTTGGTAGCCTTCTCAGTCGTCCGAGCGCGATCCTCCGTGGAACACGATCTTTCGCAACCCGAGCTCGATCTTCGGCAGCCCAGACTCAATCATCCATGATTTTGAGGTGCTCCTTCAACTGACCCACCTCATACTCCAAAGCTTTATGAGTATTGGCCAAGTTAGACTGAACTTCTTCACTCTACTCCAAAGTCTTTTCGGTGGTGGTCAATTGCTGCTGAGTCTTCTTGAAATCAACAATGGGCTCCAAAGCCAAATTTCGGGCCATAACCATGGCTCGGGTTTGGTACTCGCAAAACCATGCCCACTTCGATCTCTTATCATGGCCATCAAGGAAGGCTCTACCTTTTTTTGATAGCAAATCTGGAGAGACCAACCGTGTTGGCTGAACACCCTTTTCAAAAAAGTTTCCGGTCATCGACAATGGAGGAACAACAAATTTGGAAGAACTACTTGGCGTGGGAGTAGTTTTGGTGCACAGTTGTTTTTTCTTTCGGTCTGCTTCTTTTTCCTTGCCCTTGTCTTTTCTCTTCTTTTGGGCACCTTCAGGGAACGAGACAATGGCAGGACGTGAGTAAGCGCTATCAAGATCAGGGACTCGATCCACTTGAGGATGACGATGTTCCTCAACTGTCATACCCTCTGGGATAACCTCTTTAAGGGCTTGTCGGTAGGTCACCCCTGCCCTCCTTTGCGCCATTATGCCTACACTGAGAATAAGAAGTCAAATCAATATAACATGATCAATAAAACCACTATCACAGAAATGAAGCATACCCTTCATATCAAACCGAGGTTGAGGAGACTTGAGCAGGAGTATAATAACTTAGGCAAGAAGCTCTCGAGGCAACGAATTTAAGTAATTTAAGGCCGATACCTCTTTGGCAGACAATATCTCTTCAGGATATACGTCATACTAACGAGGTACTCGGGTCCAACAGAAAAGGAAAAGGGGCTTACCTTCATTGTCATAAAAATATTTCTTTCCTACACGAGGATTCATCTTTACCTTAAAGAATCTGGTCTTGAAACCCTTGAATGATGTAGTATAAGGTTTGAATAATGACAATTCAGCTCGCCTTATTAATAAAACTCCCCTAACCTTATCAGAAGGACGAGTACAAAAGAAATGGAAGAAAAGACCTACACTAGGTTCTATATAATGAAATCTATATAATATACGAAATGCTTGCATTGTTGCCCACCCATTCAGGTGCAACTGAGTCGGTGCCACGTTTAACAAGTGGAGTACTCCCATTTGGAAATCATTAAAGGGCAAAACTCCACCTAATTCTCTAAACAAACATTCATATACAAAGAAGGTCCCGGCTAGCCCAGCATCTTCGCCTAAAAATACAAGTTTTGGATTTTCTGATCCTTCTCCTCGGCAAACCTTTATGTGAATAGGATAGAGATCTTCATCTCCTACAAACCTATTTTATATAAATTTACAAAATTTTGGAGGTATTCCTTATAACTAAAACAAGAAAAATAGGCCGAGACCTCCCTATCTATCCACTCATATTCTATAATTGTACAAAGAGGGAAAGTAGGTCTCTACCTAACAGAAATCAAATATTTAATTAAATTTAAATATTATATATAATTTGTAAAAAATTTAAAAAAAGTTTAGCTAAACTTATAAATGTAGCCAACGATCTTTGTATTAATAATTTTTATTAGAAATTTATCAAAATAATTGCTTTAAATGATTTTAACAATATTTACAATTAAATTTATTAATAGTTCTCATTCAATATGAATTTACTTAATAAACATTTAATTATATTATTTATTTAAATACACCCTAAACTCACCTTTCATTATACATTAAAAAACAAATTAAACTTTAACATCAATCTTAAAGAATTACAAAATTTAATTTTTCCTGTTATGAAACGTTGCCTTTTGTTGTTAACTTGTTCTTGGCCGGCACCGAAGTGCTGGAGTGAGTGTAGCGTTTCGCTTACAACAACGTATCCACTCACAGCTCCAATTGAGAACATAAACCCAAAGCGCAGAACCTATAAAACCCTCTCCATTTAAAAATGGTGTCTGGAGCGTGTTGTGCACTCGCCCATAAATCCTTACTCTTTACCCGTACCCTCAGCATTTGGCGTCAACCCACGCGCCTTCAATTTCAAACCTTCACTTCTCTCAACCCTCACTCCTTCAAGTTCACCTTCAATCGCCCTCCACCCTCCCTCACTCACCGTCGCTTCCTCAATTCTCCACCCTCCGCCCTCTCCAATCACGGCTCCTCCGGAAATGGCGGACGCGGCGGCGACTCTGATGGTTGGAATTCCGGCGGTAGCGGCGGCGGCGACGGTGGAGACAAGTGGTCCTTGTTGTCATGGTAAGAAAATTGCTTGATAAATTAGGGCTTTAGTTCCTAACTTTATTAGCTCTTTTCATTTTCATGGCTAGGTTGCGACGAAGACATTGAGTACTTATTCGATAAACTTTTTAAGAACGTGTTTATTTTATATATTTGACTATAAAATTTATTAGAAAAAATTAAAAAAGAGTTTATTCTCGTAAGGTATACGGAGAAGCTTATTGAAATAAATTGAGAAGAGCTGAGCAGAGCTAAATGTTATTTTCACAAATGTGTTTCTTTCGAATGTTGTTAACACATTTATCATGTTAGTTCTCGAGGGTAATAGACGTCAATAATAATTAACGGAAATTTTCACATGATAAGGTAAATGCCAACTTGAGATGTTAATTGCCAACTGAGTATCATAGAGAAAGCAGTTTTAGGAAACCGCCACCTCTATTTTTTGGTTTTGGGAAAGAAAAGGGGAGGTAGGTGTTGTGCATTGTGCATATGAATCTAACGATTGGTTTTCTACTCTTTGTTCTTCAAACTATTTTTAGTGGCTTTAACATGCTTTTGAAAATTTGACATGGTTTTACTTCAGGTACTTGGCCCTTCTTGGAAAGTACCCTGTTCCGGTGAAAGCTATAACATCGGCGATTTTGACACTTATTGGAGATTTAATCTGCCAGGTATTACAGTAATTTTTTGCCCGTTTCTGTTTCCACTGTTTGTCAAACAATGTCATTTGGGCATATCTCATGGATGTTTCACATTGTGTGAGATACAAAGTTGGTCATTTTCACTCAGACACTCAGAATATAATGTTTATTTTAAGCCACTTGGACATTGCTTAACTGCTCTGCTTTATTCTAATTTGCCAACTTGTGGGGTGTGGACAAAGTACTGGACTATGTAAAGTTCCCCATAAAAGCATCAGGGAAGATACAATTATGCTCAAATACATGGAATTAATAGTGGAATAAGGATAGGATGATATGAATGAAAATTACAAAATTGTCATTAAAAGAAAGCCTAGCAACATCAGATTCATGTCACTTAGAAGAAGATTCATGATCACCATAAACTGGAAGTACTAGTTATAAAACTTTATTTGGGAAAAGCAGTGTCTTGATGACTGGGTTGGCTTATTAGTACAATGATTTGAACTCCAAATGGAAATTGTGGACTAAGAAGATTATTAGAAAACATAAAAAATAAAATAAAAAAAAGCATCATGCTCTTCTACATGTGGGTTAGCACCATCTTATGGTGCTACTGCTGTCACTAATTTTTTCACCGATCTTTGGGGAAAAATATTAGAATAAGTATGAACTTTTTAGTACATCTTCATACTAGTATGATATTGTCCACTTTGGGCCTAAGCCCTCATGATTTTGTTTTTGGACACCATTCAAAAGGTCTCATACTAATGGAGAATTACCATACTTATTTGCCCATGATCTTCCCCAATTTTAATCAATGTGGGACTTTGTTTGCACATCCCAACAAAAAAGAGATGTAGACATGAAGAAATCTGAAATCTAACTAGTGGAATGTTACAGAACTAATCTAATTGATTTTGGTTTTACATTAGTCAAAGTTTGCTGACTACCTTCACAGTCTTGCAACTAAAAGCGAATGTGTTTAGACCTGCCAAGTCAAATTACTAAACAAAAGTGACAGACTACTGAACCCCGGTCATACAGAGTTACAGACTGATAGAGTCCTTAAGATGATAGATTCATGTAATATATTATGCTCCTGATTTCAGCAAGAGCTGAACTTTACTGGACAACCTACTTTATGACTATACCTTGTGTTTCTTCTGTTATTTTGCAATTTATTAGCAGGAAATTGATCATTTTTAATTGTTCTTCTTTCTGAACCATCTTGGCTTACGTTACATGAAATTTTGGTCAATCCTCTTTGCTTGTGGTATTAAGCCTGACATGACATAACATTTGAATTTGATTCTAAATGGATCATTTCTAACCAGTACCTAATTAATGTTCTAAAGCATTGTATGCATTTTGTATTCATCTACATATATTCTTCTTTTTTTTTTTTTTAATTTAGTCTTATCTTCTGCAGCTTGTGATAGATCAAGTGCAGTCACTGGACTTCAAGAGGACATTCCTCTTTACTTTGCTTGGTTTTGTTTTAGTGGGTCCAACATTGCATTTTTGGTAATGCCCTAGTATCTATGTTGGTATGCCTGAAAGTTGACTATCTGTTTATAGCCTATTAATTGTGAATTTGTGGTAATGTTTTGAATAATGTAAAGAAATCCTAAAGCCAGTAATTATAAATGCAATATGTTGTAAGTTATGGTCCTGTGTGTAGTTTCTTCTTTTAAAATATATATATATATATATATATATATATATATATTGCAAATATGTTTTCATTCTCCTAATGAATATCATTAGAAGAATCCAATGAAAATTAAAGATTGATTCATGTGATTCATGGTGTCATGTTTACGGGATTTTGGCATGTTGCTAGAATTTGGATGAAGACTCAATAATTTTTAGTCTTACTCCAGTGTTGTGCCTGACATTTGCTTTGAATCTATAGGTATTTGTATCTGAGTAAATTGGTTACTCTTCCTGGAGCATCAGGTGCACTTTTAAGGCTTGTACTTGATCAGGTGGGATATTTTCATTGGTTCCCCAGTCCACTGTCTATCTATTATTAATTAATGTTGTGCTTGTTGATTATTATTTTGAATGCTATGAAATATTTTTGCAGTTCTTATTTTCTCCCATATTCATTGGAGTTTTCTTGGCTACATTGGTGACACTAGAGGGAAGACCATCGCAAGCTGTACCCAAGCTTAAACAGGTAGGTGGTAACAGTATCATTTAGATTGTCTTTGCTTGTAAAAATGTGTATTCAAAGAGTGGTATTATGTTGTTGTCATGTTTAATAGTGTATACTCATCCAGAAATTTCGTTTTGTAGGAGTGGTTTTCTGCTGTTCTTGCAAACTGGCAACTGTGGATACCTTTTCAATTTCTCAACTTTAGATTTGTCCCACAACAATTTCAGGTTAGACTGGTAGACTAGACTATATATGCAAATTGGGAATTTGACTTGACCATGTGCTTAATCTGTTCATCTCTCTGACACCTATTGGTGATAGATACTGAGTTACGGGCCTAAATCAGATACTGGGACAAGATGGGACTTTTAACAATTATTGGATTCGGACCCAAAGCCTAAAGAAGCATATGTCAATTGCTTCTAATGGGATTTCAAAATTCTTGAAAGAAGAGTTTTCTATTGATCTGTCAATAGATATTCTCTTCGTCATACTAACTTCATTATACGTTTTTAGCTGAACAACAGCAGAAAATTCTATGTTCTTGCGAAAGGATATTTTTCAGTTTACCCCAGCTTGTTTTTGTTGTTGACAGCACGGAATGACCATAGGATCCACCGTTTTCTTCAATGTTCTTAGATTTGCTTCTCCATTTTCTTAATGTTATTGTTTAATTTAAAATATATGTACATAATTTCAGGTCCTTGCTGCTAATGTTATTGCTTTGGTGTGGAATGTTATTCTCTCATTTAAGGCACACAAAGAAGTTCTTCCAAAATAGGTAAGCTTTACATTCCTTGAATTCAGAAGTCCTAGTTTTACTTTACTAACTCTTTTAAGGAATTCTAGTATGCATGAATATATGAGGCAAGAAGAAAAAGAATTTCCTAATGTTACTCTGAGTAGGCACCATCATATTCTCTCTTCCAATTTTTTTCTTAGGTGCAATGAAAGACACATTTGTACCCAAAAACATCCGCTGTGATGTACCAAGGATAAAACATTGCCCTGATAGGACAAGGATTCTCTTATCTAACATCAATAAAACTTCAATCAAATTTATTACCTAAACAACAATAACAACAAAGTCTTATCCCACTAGGTGAGGTTGGTTACATAAATTAACAAGCACAATATTCTCCTGTATACTATCATTGTGTATCTTATTTTTTCTTATATGTACACTTATTTATCTTAACATTCTCATTTTTATCACTCTCACTTTCTTCTTATATTGTTCCTTTTAAGACTCAATATTCACTACTATATAAGATAGTTGATCTTTTAGTTTGATAGATACTTTTACGATCACAAATAACTCCTGATGTTTTGCGCCACTTTAACTACCCAACTTATATTTTGTGAGTAATATTTTCATTAATTTTTTCATCATTATAAATCTAAAAACTTATATAATATTATCTCTAATTTTAACTTTTAACGTATAATTTTTGTCTTATTTTTTTGTTAAATTACAATGCATATACTCTATAATGGGAGAGAATATTGGGAAATTATTAAGTCACACGTTGCTAAAAGATCTAAGAGTTCATCACCTTAGAAGCAAAGAAATAATTAGGAACCTTGCCTCTGGCTAACTGAATCTGTTATGACGAATAAGAACCTTCCTTTAATTTGATTCTAACAGAGATGTGCTTTATTATTATTATTAAGAAATCCTAAAGTTACAGATATATCATGCTGTCTTTGTATTTTCAATCTGTCTATATTTTATAGCTTTTCTAAGCATGGACAATGCTGCAGCAATTTCCTTCATCGTTGACAATATTAATCAGTTCTATGTTCTTTGCTCATTCATCAGACAAGGAACTTGCAAGGATGCTGCGGGGAGCTGTATTTAAGTCTTTTAAATGTTTTGGTAATTTACATGAACATGAAGACAAACAGTTCTTTAAATTCGCATGTACAATTTTTGTATATGCACTTCCAGCGATGCAAGCTTCGTCCTTGTGCTTCCTAAGATTCTACATCATTCAGATCATATATGAGCTATTTTTTATAGCAAAATTCAAAAATAAAATGGCTTTTAAAAGTAAAATTTAGGTCTGGTTATTTTGTAATATAGTATATGAAACTGAGTTTGCATTTCCAACTGCATGACTACTATTTTACTTATAAGTAGGTGAACTTAGGAGGTTTTGAAACACTCAACAACCTCTAGTTATGGCTCGAAGCAGCCACGTTTAATTTGTATAAAAGGTATAGTGCGGAAGAAACAAACCAAGGGAATTTTTTTTTTCAAATATGTTTTAAGAATATGCAATAAAATATTAATAAATGTAAACAATAAATGAAGATTTTATCTAAAAGTTATAACATTTTGATTGTGATTTAATAAAAAAATATATAAAAAAATGCTAGTAACATTATCTACACGCTTTTCCAAACACATTTTATTATTAGATGAAATTTATTGAAGTATAAAAATATGTAGTTTCCATCCTAAGTTAACAACTCAATTAATTTTATAATTTTTAATATTTTTATTAATATTAAGAGTGTATTAAGAAAAGTGTGGATGCTATCAATACTTTTCAAAAATTTTCATATATAAATTCTTATTTTGAAACTTTGGACATTATATTTTTTACAGTGGTTACTTTTTGCATCTCGCTTTTTTTTAAAAAAAAAACTGCATCTTTCCTTTTTTATATATCTTATGAAAATAAAGCTCTGAAAGATATTTTTAAAAAAATTTCCAGGTCATTTTTTAAATTTAATTTTCAAATGTTGGTGAAAAAAGCGTCCACCTACTTTTGCTTGGATATTTCATGAATAGAAAGTGGGTATTAGCGAGCGGCCCAATGTGGTTAAACACTAGGATGGGTTCAACAATGGAGGAGTACGAAATAGCGTGATTTTTAAAGAATTAGCCTATTCTTCCCCTTCGCTTTTTCCTCAAACATGTCCACGACCATTGATTTGCTCTAGGTAACTAGACATATACTACAACGTAATTATCATAACAATTTCTAGGAAAAAAGGTTTCTTGACTTTAGTCCTCTAAAATTTTCTAGTAGCTGTTTTTTTTTTTTAATGATATTCCTTAGCTTCACAGATGTCAGAAAACAAATTAGCAAAATTATAAGAGTTTCACATTATTTATATTAAAATAATAGTGAAAATTATATTTAGTATTCTTTACTTTTTATCGTTGAAATATATTGCAAAAAGAATAGTGTTCAGTTAGTGTAATCGTTGTTTTTATATTATAAATTAAATTAAACAAATAAACAATGACAGTTTTTCAAGCCGTTTTTGAAATATTTAAACAAAATAAAGATAGGGAAAGAAATTTAGGTACATTTGACTATTTGATTACTCAAAGTGGCAAATGTACATGATGTACTAGTAATTTTATAAAAGGAAAGTCTTACTAACACCTTAAGATATTTGGTTAAGGAACTAGAACTTAAATTTTTAATTAAAAATTGCATTAGATTGAATTAAAATTTAATTTTAATTCCTTAAACAGTATTTTAAGACCACCGATTAATATTTGTCTTCAAAAATTATGTCTGATTCAAATGTGTAACATTGGTTCAAAAATTATTTGTTTAGTTCAAATACAATTTAAATATAGTTTTATTAAAAATTTAACCCATTAAACTGATTAAATCATGACGTAAATTTGTTTTTCTAATTCAATTATCAATTTGATTTTAAAAACCTTTTCTTTGGGTACATAAAGTATTGTTATCCACCTGAACTGTGGAAGAAGGCAGAACCCGCACAACAATGAATGTGAAAATGTTGTAAAATTTGAAGTTGTTATTTGTTAGGCAACCTATGTCAGAAAACTTTGAACTTGAACGGCAATTATATAATGCCTCGAACGAAGCAAACGTGCTTCTGCTCCAGAATAATTCCTTCTCACTCTGTTGCTGCTGCGGGTGCTTTGAAATTCTTTTGTTTGTTTCTTAGGAATCCCACACTTTGAAGTTAATTAATTCCATGGGTCATGCAGTGACACCATTCCCTAGTTGCTCTCAGTACCTCACATATGTTGAAAATAATTCAAGTTAAAAATGATATTACAATTACTATTTTAAAGATACTTCTTAAGATAAATTTTTAAATTTTAAAAAATTGTATATTTTTATTATATATATATATATATTTATCTCTCAATAAAAATATTTAATATTCATTAATTATTTATAAAAAATTTAAATATTTTTTGAAAACGTTGTTAATATAATTTTAATACTTTTTTATTCTAATTTTTTAGAAAAAATACTCAGACATTTATTAGCAAAATTCGAAAATATATTTTGAATAAAAGGAGGGTAGTATTACGAGATGATGAAGGAAGCATGAGGTGAGAAAGAGAGATAAGGCGATGAGGGCACATCTGTCAAACACCATTTATGACTGAGACACGTTTGACAGTGACATTTAAAAGTCATCGGACACGTCAACCTTTGCAACCCCACACCTACTTTGGTCAACCTTCTCTCCTCCCAATGCCCCTCTCTCATGTCTAGGAATATTAGCTAATGCTTTTATGGTTTTAATTTCTTATTTTATATGTTTTATTTATAAAAAAATAATACAATTTTCAATACAGTGTCTTAACTTTATTAGTTTATTTAAGATGAGAAAAACTGAAATTGTAAGTACTCATTAACATAAAAAAGTACTTTGATAGATTGTTACTTTTTATATGTCTTAAAAATTACTCATTTCATATATATCTAAGTCTGTTTTCTAAATAAGATAAAACCCAGTTTTTAAAATATTGATACTATATTTGGGCTATGAAGAAAACAAAAGATAAAAGTATTTATTGACAATGAAATGAACACAAATCAAGGGGCAAGTTTCAGTTCTCTATCTTGAGATGATCAAATTCAAGTTCAAAGCCTCTAGAAGTGTAGCAAATAAAATAAGTAAAAGACTTGGAAGTATGTCAAGCGATGCGAAAGGTGAATTGAATTGGGAGTCTTCCCTAAACCAAAATTTAGAACAAGTATGGTCCTTTGCTTTTTACATTAGAAATTAAGCACTGAAATTGAAATATCATATGCATAATTGATCACAATAACCAAAACAGGAATATATATTCGAGGATTGAAAGAGGGATAAAACGGGTAAGGGCGTGTTTGGTTAAATAACGTGTGGGGTTTGGTTGTGTCGCCCTAGCGAGTGGCGTGTCCAAACAATGTCATTGTTAATAATGAACGAAGCAGCACCGTCCGTTGACCCGTAATGAATGAAGGTGGACGGTGGGTGATGGATCACATGTGCATGTGCATGTGCATATGCATATCCATTTTGCATTCCTGTGGGCGTGTCATCGTGTGAATGGTGGGTGTGAGAGTGAGTCAGCGTGGGTTTGGGTCAATCGTATGAGACAACAACGGTGTACCATCAAGTACAGCCCACCATCGATGACTTTCCCCAATCAATATTTCTTTCTATTTATCAATGCATATCGTAAAATAGTCAATTTCATACGAATATTGAATTTATGTTAGTGAGCCTTCAAATATTGCAAGTTATTCCACTTTTTAAAATGTACTCTAAATCTAATTCTACTTGTGTGGATACTGAATTTACTTAGGTTAGTCTAAATAATCGTAGTAATATAATATAATAATAATATTTAATTTGTACTGATGATAATTTATATAGGTGATTATTGTGGACAATACTTGTAAGGACTAAGGTAGTAGTCATGTAAGAGTATGGTAATTAATATTTTTTTATTAAAAATAAAAAAATTTAATGGCATTCATAACTTACATTAAGTTATCTGTTTCTAAAAATTTTATATAAATTATTTTCATGGATAATATTGTATTATTTTAAAAATTCAATAAATTAGTGTAAATCTATTTGTATTGATTTTAATTTTTATGAGTTGTTTCATTTTATTCACATCATTTTACTTAAATATAATTGCTTTCACTATAAAAAGATAAAATGTATTATTTGAATATATTAATAAAAATATGTTGATTAAAATAATAGTATACTATCAGTTTACTTATATATATTTTTTTATATAGTTTTAATCGTCATCCATTTTTATTTTATTGAATTAATCAATTTTTATTATAAAACTAAGAAAATTTATGTCTATAATGTAAAATCAAGGAGCATTATTTTGTCAATACGTACAATCATGTATTATTTCTATCAAAATCATTACATTGAAGTCGGGCTGTTTTTCAATCACTCCATCTCACTGATCTTACTCAACTTGAAGTTAATTTTCAAGTGTTCAAATTTTAAAAACTAGACCAAAAGTGTTTTGGTCTAGTTATCTCAGTTGGTTACGTATTCTATATATATTAGTAATACTTCTTTATTTAATAAAATATTTTGCATAGAATAATTGATATTATTTATTTAAAAATATATCCTAATGATGATTTTATATCTTAATTTTATGATCTAATATATAGTCTTAAGAATAATATTGTATCAATAAATTGAGTTGACTTATACTATATTATGGAGTTTTGATTAGGTTGGATTTAAAATTTAATAAATAACTCAATAAAAATTTGAGTTAAAGAAAAAAAAAAGGGTTGTCCTAACTCATACTATGAACACCCTTAATTTGAAGTGCATAATTGAATGTGTATTTAGATTAGGTATGAAAATATATTGTTTCAATAATTCAGTATAATTGTATAGTATATGGAAATTTTTTATATTTGGATATATTATGTGGAAAAAAAAAATTAAATGATCTATTTTATTTGAATTATGTATGAGAAACACATTTTGTAGTAAAACTATAAAAATATTACACAATTGTTTATACCGTTGATTTTGCATTAAAAAATATATATAAATGATAAGATTGAAATATAAAAGTTAATCATTGAAAATAAATTTTAAAATTTTATTCTTTCTAGTTTTTTTTTATAAAACATCTTTATTAATACATATAAAAATTAATGAAATATATATTAAAAAAATTAGTTATAAACTTATTATTACTTATTTTTTACTAGATTATTATAAATCTATGGAATGGTGTAAGTGTGCTAAGTTTTATAATATTTTATATTTATAT